CATGTTTTCATGGTTTATTCATGTTGTAACATGTATCAGTACTTCATTTCTTTCTATTGCCGTTGTATGGATACATTACCTTTTATTTTATTTTATTTTATTTTATCCTCACCCGAGGACATCTTCCCATTTTTTTGTTCAGGTAGAGTGGGAGGGAGAGAGAGGAACAGAGAGAGAGAAACATCGACGTGAAAGGAACACATCGAGTGGCTGCCACCCGCACGACCGACCAGGGCCGGGGACAAACTGCAACCGAGGCACGCGCCCTTAGCGGGAACCGAACCCGGGTCTCTCGGGACCGCAGGCCAACGCTCTAACCGCTGAGCCAAACCAGCCAGGGCGATACATTACCTTTTATTTATCTATTCATCACTTGGACATTTGGGTTTTTATTTTTTGACTATTATAAATAATGGTGCTCTAAATAGTCATGTACAGGTTTTTGTGTGGACCTGTTTTCATTACTCTTGGGTTTACACCTAATTGCGGAAATGTTGGGTCATATGATGACTGTTTTAACATTTTAAGGAACTGCAAACCACCAACTTACCAGCAATGTCTGAGGGTTCTAGTTTCTACATAACATCCTTGTCAACACTTGTTACTGTCCATTATTTTTTCATTATAGCCATCCTAGTGGGTGCAAAGTGATTACCTCTTTGTGGTTTTGATTTGCATTTTCTCGATGGCTAGAGATATTAAGCATCTTTTTATGTGAGTTTTGGCCTTTTGTATATCCTCTTTGGAGAAATGCCTATTCAAACCCTTCGCCCATGTTTACATTGGGTTATTTGTCCTTTTACTCTTGAGTTGTAAGAGTTATTTATATATTCTAGATTCAAGTCCTTTATCAGATATGATTGCAAACATTTTTTCCCATTCTGTGGCTTGTCTTTTTTCTTTGTTCTTCTCTGAAGCACAAATTTAAAAAATTTTGATGTTAGCTTCAAGTTTTTTTTTTTTGCCTGTGCTTTTAGTGTTATGTCTAAGAAACCATTGCTTAATCTAAGGTCAAAGATTTATGCCTATGTTTTCTTCTAAGACTTTTATAGTTCTAGCTCTTATATTTAGGTCTTGATCCATTGGGATTAGTTTATTAATATGGTGTGATGGGGTTCCAACTTCATTCTTTTGCATGTATCCAGCTGTCCCAGCACCATTTATGAAAAAGACCATCCTTTCTCCATTGAAATATCCTGGCCACTTTGTCAAAAATCAGTTGACTATAAATGTCAGAGTTTATTCCTGGACTCTCAATTCCATTCCATCAATCTATAGGTCTATTCTCATGCCAGTACCTTTGTCTAATTGTAATTTCATAGTAAGCTTTGTAATTGGGAAGTGTAAATCCTCCATCATGTGCTTTTTCAAGATTGTTTTGGCTATTCTGGGTCCCTTGAATTTCCAAATGAAGTTTAGGATCAGCTTGTCACTTTCTGCAAAGATGCTAGCTGAGGTTTTGACAGGGACTGCTTTGAATCTGTAGGTCAATTTGGGGAGTATTTCCATCTTAACAATACTAAATTTTCTAATCCATAAACATGAGATGTCTTTGCATGATGTAGGTGTTCTTTTATATCTTTTCAACATGCTTAGTATTTAAAAGTATAAGTTTTGCACTTATTCGTTAAATTTATTCCTAAGTATTTTAGTCTTTTTGATGTTCTGAGTTTTAATAAGCTCTGCTTTTGTAGGTACTTACTTGTTCATCTCATCAAAAATTTCCAATTTGTCATGAAATTATTTAAAATAGTCTTGAATTAGACAGTGTTCAGGTGAAGAAATGGTACCAATAGGATATATATTAAGAAAATTATTGCAAGGAACTGACTCACACAATTATAGAGGCTTGAAATAAGTCTAAAACCCTAAATGCATAGGGTAGACATTCAGGAAGGGCAGGCTGGGAATCTCAGGCATGAGCTGAAGATAGTATCTACAGGTATAATGTCTTCTCCCTTAGGGAAACCTCAGTTCTGCTCTTAAGGGCTTTCAATTGACTGAATCAGGCCCACATCTATTATCTAGGATAACCTTACTTACTTAAAGTCAATTGATTAAGAACTTTACACAATCTACAAAATACCTTCTTAGCAACACACAGGTTAGTGACTGGCTGAATAACTAGCAATGGTGGCCTAGCCAGTTGACACATATAACTGACCATCGTAAGCCTCTCATCTTTTGAAAATCTGTACCATTTGTAGTTAATAAATTTTTTTGCATCCTTACTATCACTTGTGTTTTTATGATTAATTTTGCCAGATATTTTTCTAATTTATTAGCGTGTCAACAACAACAACAAAAAGCCCTGGCTAGTTTGGCTCAGCAGTTAGAGCACTGATCGGCCTGCAGACCAACAAGTTGCAGGTTCTATTCTGGACCAGGGCATATACCTCTGTTGCAATTTGTCCCCGGCCCTGGTTGGGGTCATGCGAAAGGCAGCCTGTTGATGTGTCTCGCCTCTCACCTTCCCTCCCACTCTATCTAAAGATAAATAGAAAAATATCCTCAGGTGAGGATAATAATTTAAAAAATCCAACAACTTTTGGCTTTGTGATTCCATTATATTTATTTTCTATTCTATCAGTGTTTGCCCTTTACCATACAGTCCCAGAGTAGGTAGAACCTGGCATCAACCACAGGACAACCTCCAGAACAAAGGCCACACTTTAAATTTTAGACTTCAGGTGTTTTTTGTTTTGTTTTTTTTTTAAAGTTTTTCCTTTATTGATTTGAGAGAGAGAGAAACATTGATGAGAAAGAACATCAACTGGCCACCTCCTGCCTACCCCCCACTGGGGATCTGGCTCACAACCTGGGCATGTGCCCTGACGGGGAATTGAACCGGCAACCTCTTGGTGCAGGGGTCGACGCTCAACCACTGAGCCACATCGGCCGGACTAGACTTCAGGTTTGTTGTTGTTGTTGTTGTTTTTTTAACTGATTTTGAGAGAGAGAGGAAGGGAGAGTGAGAGAGAAACATCAACGTGAGAGCAAAACATCAATCAGCTGCCTCCTGCATGCCCTCAACTAGTGATCAAGCCAGCAATCCAGGATGGAGCCTGCAACCCAGGTATGTGCCCTGACCAGGAATAGAACCGGCAACCCCTTGGTGCAAGGGACAATGCCCAACCAACTGAGCCGCACTGTCCAGAGCAAGTTGTTTTCTTTTTTTAAACATCTGGACAGAGTATAAATTTGGACTCACACCTATTTGGAAAAAAAAAAAAAAAAATGCACAGAGAAAAGCCTAATGACATATACCAAATGTGAACAGTGGTTGCCTCTGGATATCAGGATTGGGGATGACCTTCCTCCTCATCTTTCCTGTATTAAAAAGTATGTACTTCTAATAATTAGATGCAATACAGGATTCTTGACTGATCCTACATTGGGGATGGGGGAAAAGGCTAAAGGGCACTGTGGGAAAAATTTTAATATAAAACATATGTTAGGCAGCAATATTCTTGTGCTAAGTTTCTTTGGTATAATGATACTGCAGTTATGTAGAAGACTGTCTTTGTTCTTGGGGATACATGCTGTAGTATTGAGGGGTCAAGTGTCATCTTGCATATTTCAAATGGTTCAAGAAAAACCCTGTTTATAAAACATGCATGGGAAAATGTCATAAGTCAATCTAGATAAAGGGTATGCCTGTGTTCACTGTACTATCTGAAATTTTCTATAGGTTTAAAAATATTAAAATGAAAATCTGGGGGAAAATTATATCCTTCTATAATAAAGCAGCTAGAAAACAAAAAAGCCCATAAGACAACCAGCCACTGATTAAGATGCTTTCTACATGGATGGGTCTCATCCTTTTGTCTGCAGGGATCTGCTCCATGCCAGTGACAGTGGCTCACCACAGGCTGCTGCACTGATCCAGGAGGCTGTGGATTATCAGTCCGGAGCTGGCAGGCGTAATCCAGCACTCACTCACTTGCTCTCTGGAATAGTAAGATAATGCCCTTTTGATGAGTGTAAAGCTATAAAATAACCTTGTCTTTGGGAAGTTTTTGCTATTGAAAAATAAATTAAGCACATGAAAAATTTCTACAGTACATAATAAGCTCAGAATACGCAATATTATTGATATCATGATGATGATTAATAAATTATTTTGATTCCCATTTTCCTACCATTAAGCCCCGAATCTTTGAAACAAAAACAACAACAACAACGTTTTTATTGATTTTAGAGAAAGAGGGAAGGGAGAGAGAGAGAAACATCATTATCAACTGGCTGCCTCCTGCATGCCCCCTACTAAGGATCGAGCCCACAAATCGGGCATGCACCCTGACCAGGAATCGAACCAATGACCCCTTGGTGCATGAGATGATGCTCAACCAAGTGAGCCACACCAGCCAGGCTCTGAAACATTTTTTAAAAAGAGGTTTAATCTTATATGGCAAAGGCACGAGGATAATGTTTCTTGGTTTCAGTGTTCTGATTTGTAAGTTAAACCACGTCAACACAAAAACCTCCCTTCAGCCAAATGAAAGTAGATTAAAAAAAACCTTTTGCAAATCCTTGGTAGTATCAGGTTCCTATGGATCTGAAATAGAATACTCAAGAATTATATCCTTAATTATTATACACTATGTACAATAAGCATGTTGAGGAAATAAAAACAAAAAATACATGTCTAGCCCTGGCAGTTATGTTCAGTGGTTACAGCGTCGGCCCTCGGACTGAAGGGTCTCAGGTTTGATTCCTGGTTAAGGGCATGTACCTGAGTTGCAGGTTCAATCCCTGACTCTGGTCAGGGTTGTGAGGGAGGCAATCAATCGATGTGTCTCTCAAATCAATGTTTCTCTTTTTCTTCCTCTCCCACTTCTTCCCTCCCTCTCTCCCTTCCAACTCCATCTAAAAAAAAAATGAGTGGAAAAATATCCTTGAGTGAGGATTAACAAAACAAAACAAAAATACATGTCTACAGACATGCTTTCCAAAGTATTATAAAAAACCTTTATTCAAGATATTGAAATCAAATCCGTACTCACAAACCAAATGACAAAGCAAGATGAAATAGCCAACATATAACAACAGCTGACATTTCTATTAAACATCATACAGTGGTATGTCAGGAACTAAGTGTGTTTGTCTCATTTAATTCTCACAACAATCCTATGAAGTAGATACTATCATTATACCCATTTTATAGATGAGTGGACAAAGGCAGAACTTACCCAAGGTTATTCAGCTGACAGGTATTGCAGTGGGTTTTCAAGCCTGGGTAGTCTGGCATTGAAAACTGTACTCCAAGCCACTGTGCTACAATGTCTCTCAATACTAATTTAAAAATAAAAAATGTATTCCTTCCTAACTGCAATCATAGTGAGATAAGGAGTATCCTTTGGCTCCTATATATCTAAATTTTCAACATATTTTGTTCCTTCCAACCTATAAAACTATCTTCAATTTTGAACTACTTGATTTTATTTTACTCCTATCCACCCATCCCCATCCCTATATCTTGCTCTCATTAAGCGGCTGTATTTATATTAAGCTCTGCTTAGAATAATAACCAAAAAGTATGAAATAATTAAAACTTGTTTCTCAAAATAAAAAAATTAAACATTTTCCCTAATTCTTATCAAGGCTTCAAAGACTTGCTCAGAAAAGTACAGTTGATGCTCATAACCGGATTACCTTACCAGGAGCACATTATGCTGGCTGCATACTATCAAAACACCTTCAATTCTTCTCTTCTGTGTGTATAATGTATAGCAGGATGGGGGTGGTGGAGGAAATTATGGTAATAAATATAAAATATATTTTTAAAAAACATTTCCAGCCCATAAAAATAAAATGTATGGCCACATCAAGCTAAATATGGAAATGTGAAAGTTTTATTTATTTTTTAAATACTACGTTATGCAGACAATTAAAAGCCATATAAGAAGAAATTTCCAAAACAAAAAAAAAGAAAGTCTCATCTACAAAAGTATTTACACTTTCAGGGCCTGTATTAGAAAGCATGGCCCCTAGGTCCAATATAGACAGACAGCAGTCTATGGTAACACTTGGGAAGAAAGCTACTACCCAGCATATAACATAAACCAAAAAAGGAAATCCCTACAAGGTATTTCAATGCCCAGAGCTTTTAAGACCTTGGCTTTGGTGATTTTGAAAGTAAGAAACAAAATCAAACTGGGACATGCTAGTGGCCTCAAGTCAGTGACCATAATCACAAAGCTTCTGAATCGTGCTCCATTTGGGGGGCAGAGCAATCTGTAGAAATGATAGTTTTTAACACATTCCCTGCTACCTACTCCAGTATAATTATTAAGTTCTCTTAGAAAGACAATTGTCTTTAAATGCTTTTAAATATATATAGCATTTCCTAAAGATTTTTTTTTAAAGTCCAGATTCATCAAAGATGAGCAAAGAATCCATTACTTTCCTAAGGCCACACCCTTACTCTATTCCTGCTTAAATGCAAAAGCTGACAGTTTCTGATTCGTAGAAAGATCTAAAGGTTTTTGTCTTTTAGGCAAATTCAGATTTTCCTTTGCTTTTTCCTCCTGGTGTTCAGTTTCTTGACTCTCGTCGGCCACATGTTTTCGCTTCTTTGCTTCAGCTCCATCACTTGGAGTTCCACCTTTGGCTTTGGTAGTCCATGCCTTTGTGACAATATTGGAGCAGAAAAGATTTTTACACAGTAACAAAGAAATAGGAAGAAAATAATTTTTTTCCAAGTAACATTCCTGTATATAAAGTAGCATAATTAGCACCTGAATTGTTAAATCATTAAGAATTCTCAATGTTAAGAAATTTCTTATTACTTAATTGCAGAGCACATTAAAAAAAAAATTACATTCTATCTCCATAATATTTCAGTCTAAACTCTGCTCTTGTATTTAACCATATTAAGTGCAAAATACTTTTTAAAATAAAACTTTTCATTTTCAAATTGCAGATTCACATGCAGTTGCAGGAAATAATACAAAAAGATCCCATGTACCCTTTACCCAGTTTCCCCTAATGGTAGAATCTTGCAAAACTATAGTGCTGTATCACAACCAGGATATTATCATTGACAACCCCTTTTTACTTCTACTTGGATGTGCGTGTGTTTGATTCTACTGCAGGTTTATGTATTTACCACCACATTCAAGATAACAGAACAGTTTCATTACCACCAGGATCCCTCATGTTGCCTCTACTCATTAGGCCCCAACTGCTGGCAATCAGTACTCTGTTCTTCATTCCTATGACTTGGTCATTTCAGGGATGTTATATACAGTATATATTCTTTTAGGATTGGCCTCATTTCATTGAGCAAGAACCTAACAAGCTTCACTCATTTCATCCGTCTCTTAAATCTCTAAATTTATAATAGTGTCTCTCCTACTTTATATTCTTCCCAACTTAGTTACTGTAGAATAGAGACCCTCTGAGCTGTAGAATTTCTCACATGAAAAGACTGGATGTAAGTGTTTAAGGTTTATTGTAATTCTAACTTTTAAAAACAATTACAAATTTTACCAAGTTGTGGCCTCTTTTGCTACATAAGGTCTTATTCATTCAGAGGCCATTTTATCTAATTCTTTAGAATTTTTATCCTTTTATAAATACCTACAAAAAAACAAGAAACACAAAGTTGCTGACAAGATTCTAAATGAGGCTAGAGTTGGTTAGACCAGTTTCTAGCTTCCTCGTTTCGCAATATCTTTACTCATAAAACCCAGTTTATCAAGGCAGAAATCTATGTCACTAGGTGCCCATGCTGCACACTGCCATCTGTGAGAAAGTGAAGTCCCAGGATTTAATTGATACACCACACACAGTCCTTCCCATTACAAAAGAAAGCTGCTCCTAGCCTTTCTTCACATGGCAGAAATTTATGAGGAACAATAGGTACAAGCCACCTATTCTGATTTCCATGTGAAAGTCTGGAAAAGAATACTAAAAGCAGTATTCTCAGTTAGAATTCAGTGTAAGTAAATAGAACTTATAAAAATTTTACTTACAAGACCCTAAATTATGTATTAATCTAAAAATGTGAATTAATTTCATTTTTACTTATTAGTTTTATTTGCTTTTAATTGATAACTAATGCACTTTTACTTGGGGTAGTTCCCCTAACTTATGAGGAACTTATACAGATGTAAACAATATACCTGCCCCCAAATGAACCATTAACACTAAGCAATAACTACTGTATATATCCATATACTCCATGCTGACATTTCAGTTATTTAGTTACTTCTTCACCCAAAGTTTATTGAAATGTATTCAATTTTCAAAAACAGAAAAGGATATTTTCTATAAGAATCTTTAAAACTTGTAAATTCACTAAGATCTCAATCTCAGCATAATTACCCTTACCTTCCTTTCTTTAGTTGATAAAATTCTAAATCGAAGCATTCCTTCTTTTATTATGTCTGCTTCATCTGTAAAGTCGGGATTGTCAGACAAAATGTTACTCCTGTTTTCTTCCAGCCACATCTGGAACCCAGTCTTTGGCCTAAAATAGCACAATCATGTGAGAAAATGTTATACTTGAGACACAGTTTAAAGTGCTTTATGGCCCAGCTGGTGTGGCTCAATGGTTGAGCATCGACCCATGCACCAAGAGGTTGCTGGTTCGATTCCAGGTCAGGGCACATGCCCAGGTTGTGGGCCAAATCCCCAATGGGGGGCGTGTAGGAAGCAGCCAATCGATGTTCTCTCTCATCGATGTTTCTATCTCTCTCTCGCTCTCCCTTCCTCTCTCTCTAAAATCAATAAAGAAAAAAAATTTAAAGTGCTTTATGATTTTTCAGATTAGTAATTAACCACTACTTGTTATATAATTGTATAAAGTGAGACACACTTAATTACACTTGTTAACACTCATATTACTTAAAACTGCCTGAAGAAAAACAGGAATAATGAACTGAAAAATTCTTTGTAAGGTCAATTCAAAGGAATTATTCACACTTGTACTTTACAAGTGCAGCAATCAGGAATTCTGTACTTTCAACTCTTCTTTTAATGTTGACAGGCTCAATATCTCTAATCCCACTTAGGCCCCTCTGGCCCAGTAAAATTCTTCCAGATAGCCTTGGTAGGCTTTTCCTCAATTTCCCAAACCAGCTACTTGAAATCTTTAGGATTTCTCTCAAACTCCTTAGCCATCCGCTTACTCTGGCTCTCACAGCTGGCATGGGAGTATGGTCCTTTCCTGTACCATCATTATGTAAAACATGGACAGAGCACACTTGTCAATTTTATCAGACTTCACTTGTGATACAATTGTCTTTAGGTTACAAGTGAGGGTTTAATGAAAATACTTAATATTTACTGAGTACTTTGTTCTGTATGCCCAGTTATTAGCATAAAAAACTGAATCTTATTTACTGTTTAATATCTAAATTGAATTAAGAACAAAATAGAAAAAATAAAAACCATAGTTACCCCCCTCAAATTAAACTGGTTAACATAAAATAATGATTAAGCGAAACACAAAATTGTGAAAATAAAATGACTTTTTCAATTTAACTGATGCATTTTAAGTAAATCTAGCATAACAGATCAAGATATTTGGTAACATATTACAATGGCAGACAAATAGGGTGTGGACAAATAGGAACTCTCATATTGCTAGGGTGTATAAAAGTGACAACATTGCCCTGGCCGGTTTGGCTCAGCGGTTAGAGCGTTGGCCTGCGGTCCCGAGAGACCCGGGTTTGGTTCCCGCTAAGGGTAGTTTGTCCCGGCCCTGGTTGGGTTGTGCGGGTGGCAGCCACTCGATGTGTCCCTTTCACGTCGATGTTTCTCTCTCTCTCTCTCTCTCTCTCTGAACAAAAAAAAAAAAAAATGGAAAAATGTCCTCCGGTGAGGATTAAAAAAAAAAAAAAAGTGATAACATTAATGCAGAAAATTTGACACTATCAGAATTTCAATTGCACATTAATTTGAAACACACACGAATCCACTGCTATATGTTTATATGAGAAGTGACATTCATATAAATTATTGACTGCAATACTATTTGTACTAGTAAAATATCTTTTTCTGCCAGTAGAGAAGTAAGTAAATTATGATTTATCAATTCAATGAGTATAAAAAGATGACAGAAACTCTGTGTAGTAATCTGAAATGACCTGCAAAAGCTGCTAAGTGAAAAAGAGCAACATACAGCCTTGCCGGTGTGGCTCAGTGGCTGAGCACTGACCTATGCACCAAGAGGGTTGCCGGTTCATTTCCTGGTCAGGGCACAATCCCCATTGGGGGGCAGGCAGGAGGCAGCCAATTGATGTTCTCTGTCATCGATATTTCGCTCTCCCTCTCCCTTCCTCTGTCTCTAAAATCAATGAAGAAAAAAAAAGCAACATACAGAACAATGTGTTGCTATAATTTCTCAACAACAACAAAAAAAATACACCAATATAAGTGTTTGTACATGCATAGATTAATTCTGGAAGGCTATATAGGGAACTTGTTACCGTAATTATTTGTGGAGAAAGGAACTGGGTAGATAGGAAAGAGATTTATTTATTTATTTTTTAAGAGAGAGAGGAAGGAAGAGGAAGAGAGAAAGACAAACATCAATTTGAGAGCAAAATGCCATCAATTGGCTGCCTTCTGCATGACCCCTACTGGAGATCAAACCTGAAACCCAAGCATGTGCCCTGACCCAGAATCAAACCGTCAACCTTTTGGTGCATGGGATGATGATGCCCAACCAACTGAGCCACACTGGCCAGGGTAAGATTTACTCTTCATCACACCTCTTTTGACTATGTTTCTCCCATGTAATATATTATCTATTCAAAAATGAAATTGCCCTGGCTTGCTAAGTGGTTAGAGCACTGGCCTGTATTTGATTCCCAGTCAAGGGCATGTACCTGGGTTGCAGGTTCAATCCCCGGCCCCTGCCAGCACTTATGCAGGAAGCAACCAATAAATGAATCTCACATCAATGTTTCTCTTTCTCTCTCCTCCTCCCTCTCCCCACTTCCCTTCCACTCTTTCTCTAAAAACAAAAACAATGAAAAAATATCCTCAGGTGAGGATTAAAAAACAATAACAACAAATGAATTATAGGCCCTGGTCAGGTTGCTCAGTGGGTAAGAGTGTCAGCCTGATACACCAAGGTTGCAATTTCAATCCCTGGTCAGTGCTCATACAAGAATCAACCAATGAGTGCATAAAGAACAACAAATCAATGTTTCTCTCTCTCCCCCTCCCTCTCTAAAATCAATAAAACTTTAAAAATAAAAAACTAATTATAAAATGTATCTATAATTTAAAACACATCCAATATATCAAAGCATATTTTAATAAGTAATGTAAATAGACATAAATCAGTATTTGTGACATCCTTAAAATTATAAGTATTCAGAATGCTCACTACCAGCATTAATGTGTGATTTATAATAATAACAGAGCTGAATAATTTTGTACTGCTGCTTCTGTATGCCTTTTATTGGGAGACTGCATCTTGAAAACACTAAATTTCTCTATGTACTTACCTTTGATTTTCAGTGTTTTGAGGACACATAGCTGGGGTTTCAGATGATGAATTTTTAGGATTTTCTTCTTTCACTTCCTCAGTCTTATCAGCTTGGGAAGTTCTTTTCTGGAAATAGGATACCGCAGATGCCTGTGAAAACAAACATAATGAGTACTGCAACAAAATCTAGTATGGTGTTATATGTTACAAACAAGTTTTAGAAAATGTGAAAAAATATTTATAATTATTTAGAATTCTTATACTGACATGTTAAATCCTAAAGTTCTCAGTTGAAAATAAGCATGCATACACACAGTACCCCTCCAAAAATATTTCAAATTCCATGTTTTCTAAATGAATAAAATTCTATGAAATGGAAAAGACAAACAATAGATCTATTTTATTGATGACAAATATGGGATGAGATCTGTGGGCAAAATCAGAATACAGAATGAGAAAAAATTAGAGCCAGGTACTACACCAGTCACCATTAAATAGAGATATGCATCAGAGTCATCTGGGAAATTTAAAAAAACAAAAACAAAAAAAAACAGATTGATGCCTGGGTCCGCAGAGTCCGGGCATACATATTTTTAAAAAGTGATTCTGAAGCAAAATAGAATTGAGAACCTCTGCCCTTGCTAGAAAATCAATTAAAATAACTCAGGAGAAATTTCCAGAAAAAGAACTAAATGAAATGGAGGCAAGTAAATTACAGATAGAGTTCAAAACAATGGTTACAAGGATGCTCAAGGAACTTAGTGAGAACTTCAACATGAAAAAGTATGTCCTTTTATGGTTTCTACGTCAAAACCATAAAAATGAACCAGTCAGAGCCCTGGCTGGTTTGGCTCAGTGGTTGGCACGTTGGCCCACAGACCAGTGAGTCATGGGTTTGATTCCGGTCAAGGGCACCTACTTCGGTTGCAATTCATCCCCAGCCCTGGTTGGGGTCATGCGGGAGGCAGCCACTCGATGTGTCCCTTTCATGGCAATGTTTCTCTCTCTCTCTCCCCCTCCCACTCTATCTGAACAAAAATGAAAAAATGTCCGAGGATGAGGATGAAAAAAATAATAATACGAACAATAAAGTGGCAATAAATACGTATCTATCAACAATTGAATCTAAAAAACAAAATAAACAAACAAGCAGAACAGAAACAGACTCATAGATAAAGAGAACATTTTGATGGTTGCAAGACTGGGTGGGGGGGGGGGTTGGGAGGATGGGTGAAAAAGGTGAAGGGATTAAGAAGTACAATTTGGGCCCGGCCGGTTGTGGCTCAGTGGTTGAGCATCAACTCATGCACCAAGAGGTTGCTGGTTCGATTCCCAGTCAGGGCACATGCCAGGTTGCAGGCCAAATCCCCAGAAGCGGCAAGCAGGAATTAGCCAATTGGTGTTCTCTCTCATCAACATTTCTATCTCTGTATCACTCTCCCTTCCTCTCTCTCTAAAATCAATAAAGAAAAAAAAAAAAGAAGAAGAAGTACAATCTGGTTGTTACAGAATAGTCATTGGGATGTAAAGTACAGCATAGGGAACATAGTAAAAAATATTCTAGTAACTATGTATGGTGTCGGATGGGTATGAGAATTATCAGGATGATCACTTAGTAAGTTATATAATGTCTAATCACTGGGGTGTACACCTGAAATTAATATAATATAGCATGTCAACTGTAATTGAAAAATAAAAAATGATTAAATGGCAAAAAAATTATAAACAACTAGAGCCTCCTGTCCCACACCTGAAACAGTAAACAAAACTAAAGTAAGACAAACTGATCTCGTGCTTTCCGCAGATGTGGGTAGCTGAAACAGTACCTGCTTAGACCTTGGCTTTGGAACGAGAGGCTTTATTACTGGAGACTTTTCATCATTTGTAGCTCGATTAAGTGTAGTAGATTTCTTATATGATTTATTCATGTTGTCTAAAATATTAGTAGAACGTCCTGAATTCACTGAAATGGCTGGCTCTTTGGAACTGGCTGATACCTAAGGAGCAAACTTGTATTAGTATTTTATGTTTAAAGAAAAAAAAGAATCCAAATAACATTTTCCTTAAAAATTCTGTTGTTTGTATCGTAGTCTCATTTTTGAAACTAAGTACATTTGGTACAATACAAATCAAGATTGATCCACATATTCCCAAATACCACATCCCTAAGAAAAACAGGGAGTAGTTTTCAAAACCATAGGTCCTTAAAAGATAAGTAGAAAATATAACTTGTAGCCCAAGTGTGAACCCGGGCTGCTTTTGTCTTTTGTTTTCACAAAGATCTGCTACAGTCTTTAAGCCTCCAATCTGGGGAGGGTCATTAGGTGGTTTGAAATATTTCCCTGGATGGAAATGTATTTAAATAGAAAATATCACTGGAAAGAGTTTACCTTGAAGGGGTTTACTCGTCCTTGGTTGCTAGAGGTAACTGCATCTTTCAAAAGAAAGAAAGCCTCACTTAATAGTAGTAAAAACACAGAAGACGTCTGTCTTCTGTCAGCATAGATAGAATATTTTAATCTGTATTATATCAAAATAAAAGTACTTTGTAACTTTAAAACTCTTAACAACTATATATGACCTCCTTCCTATTTCCAAGACAAAATAAAAGCTTTCAGATGGAAACTACTGCAACTTGCCACTAAAAAATATACCAACCCAATACATGTAGGTCTATCCTTTTCTCCTGTTACCATGGAAGAATGGTGTCTTATTTTAACAAAGGTTAGTAATTCCTCTCCTTGTGCTCTCCATCTTACCCCCTCCTGCTGTCAAGAAACTTGTCCTATCAATGGCTACATCACCTTTGACTTTTCCCTCTTTATTGGCTGTTCAAGTTTCCCAACTTAAAAAACAAACCCTCTCTACCCCACGTCCCCTCCAATCACCATGTTTTCTCACCTCCACACATACAGCCACATTTCTCAAGAGCTGTCTACATGGCTATTCCCATTTCCTCAATGCTCTTATGTTCCAACATCCAATATAACACGGCTCTACTACTCACCCTACATAATCTGCTCTTGCTAAGAACTCAATAAAACTCTATGTAGCCAAATCTGTTGGATACTTTTCAGTCATCATCTTACTTGCTCCCTTAACAGCATTCCCACATAACTGAGTGTTCCTTTTCTCTTGATACTGTCTCCTTCCTTGACTTCTCAGATACTGCATTACCCTGGCTCACCTCCTTCCTCTCTGGTCTTACTCTCTTTTGATGATGCCCCATTCCTCCTCCTCCTCCTCTACCTTGTTTAAATGTTGGGAATTCCCTAGGCCTAAGCTCATTTTTCTTCTCACTTTACATACTCCCCCAATGCTCCCTTACCCATGCCCATGGTTTATTTTATTTTCAAACTTATTTTTAATTTAATTTTTTCCTTCACCCTTTATCCCCTCTACCACTTCCACCATCCTGCTCCACCCCCGCAATCAGCACACTGTTGTCCATGTCTATAGTTCTCTTTTTTGCTCAGTCCTTTCCCCCTGCCCTCCCCACCCCCCATCCCAAGCTCTCTGCCTACTTTCTATCTATGAATCTATCTCTATTTTGCTTGGTGGTTCAGTTTGTTAATTAAATTTCACATGAGTGAAATCATATGGTACATGTCTTTCTCTGACTCCCATGCTCATGGTTTAAATTGCTATACTTATGCCAAAGATTTTCACTTCATAGTTCCACCCCAGAGACACTACTTTCCCAAGCTCCTGACCCAAATATCCAATAGTAATTCATCATCTTCCTACTTAAACCCGCATTGCACTAGTGTTTCCTGACTCAATAAGTGGCACCTCATTCACTCAAGAACTGAAGCCAAGAAACTGAGTCATTCTTCACACCTGAACTTCCACACATTCTACGTCATCTTCTGAACTACCTCTTCAATTCTTCCCATTCTTTCTATCACCACCACTACCCCAGGCTACGTCGCTATTCAGTCTCACTTGGACTGCCTCAGTGGTCACTTTATATGCATTCCTACTCTGCAGTGTGGCATGCTATGGCCCTGCTTAAAATCTACAGCCTCCCAGCAACCTTAGAATAAAGATCAAAATCCTTACGATGGACTACACAAATCTGCATGATCTGGCTCCTACCCACTGCTCCAAAACCATTCAGCAGCATTTTTTCTTTGCTCTCTGGGCTCTTCACACTACTCTTACATAGTCTTCACATATGTTCTTTAAGCCCACATGTTTTGTCTCTGCTTCTGCTCCCACCCACCTTTGCCAATCTTATTCTTTTTTTTGTTATTGATGTTGTTTTATCCTCACCCGAGGACATTTTTGCATTTTACCCTCAGATAGAGTGGGAGGGAGAGAGGGAGAAAGAGAGAGAGAGAAACATTGATGTGAAAGAGATATCGACTGGTTGCCACCAACTAGGGCCAGGGACAAACTGCAACTGAGGTACGTGCCCTTAGCTGGAACTGAACCCAGGACTCTCTAGTCTAAGGGCTGATGCTCTAACCACTAAGTAAAACTGGCCAGGGCTGCCTACCTTATTCTTATCGTTCAGGTATCTGCTTTAAACATTCCATGAGGCCTTCCTTGGAACCCAACCCACCTCCCACCACTGAATAAATTACAGCCACCTGTTATATGCTCTTTTAATACTCTACACATTTTTAAAAATAATTTTTAAGTCAAAGAAATATATGTACGTAGTTTAAAAAGCCAATTAGTACTATAAGCTTTATACAGGGATCAACCATGCATGTCTGCTTGATTCTGTATCTATCTAGTCAAATACCTGATACATAACAGGCATTTAATAAATAGTTGTTAAATGACCAGTTTCACAAACATCTCTGATAAACAACAAACTCCCAAACAAAACAAAAAAAACAGGCCCTAAAGGGTAAAGTATATTTGGGCAGATGTATCACTAAAGATTACTTGCAAAATTTTCTTGATATTAATGAATTATAAATATTTCTTACCTGACTTAACAGCTGGCACATCAGAGGTAGTTGCACTCTTAGAAAATGGGTTCTGTCCTATGGAATAATTAAGGTAATACAATGTAAATGGGAAGATAAAGTCATCCTCCATAATCAACAAATAGTCGTCTTGAAAAAGTATGGGTCCAGCAGTCCTCAGATAGAGTGGGATCCCCCTCATCTATGAGGGATATGTTCCAAGATCCTTAGTACATGCCTGAAACCAAGAATAGCACTGAACCCTGTATGTACTATGTTTTTTCCTATATATGCAGGGTGAGGCAAAAGTAGGTTTATAGTTTATATAGAAAATAAAATAATCATACAAGAATAAACTGTGTTTTGTATACTCACAACTGAAAACCTACTTTTGCCCCATCCTGTACATACCTATGATAAAGTTTAATTTATAAATTAGACACAATAAGAGATTAACAACAATGACTAACAATCAAATAGAACAATTATAACAATATACTGTAATAAAAGTTTTGTGAGTGTGGTCACTCCTTTCAGAGGACCCTTGCTGAAGTGTTCTGAAGGCTCAATGCTTTCTGGTGCAACACACTGCCATCACCCAGAACACGTTTCTGTTCACGTCTTCCCCCGCATCTTCACTAAGCACTCACCACACACTGTGGCCGTGACTTCTGCACTTCGAGGTGCGACAGTAAAACTAGCACAAATTTCTTTTTCGTTCTTTCTGTAGATCTTCACAAGCTCAGCATACAATTTTTTCTTTCCTTATGAAGTCCAGAACTTTTACCTTTTCACTTAAAGGGAGAATTTTACAGCTTCTCTTTAGCATATCTGAATTGTCAGCATCACTACTCTCATGCTTTGAGGCCATCATTAGGTAAAATGGGAGCTACTTGAACACAAACACTTCAATTCCACAGTTGATCTGACATGTGAGTGACTAATGGGCGGGTAGTATATACAATGTAAATACACTGGAAAAAGGATAATTCACATCCCGGGTGGGATGGATCAGATAGTGAGAGTTTGCATCATGCTATTCAGAACAACACAATTTAAAATTTATGAACTGTATATTTCTGGAATTTTCCATTTAATATTTGAAACCACAGTTGACTGTGGGTAACTGAAACTGTGGAAAGCAAAACCACGGATAAGAAGGATCTACTGTATTTAATTTTCCTAGCTAAGTAAATTAGGGAAAGCCCCACACATGATATTTCTCATTTTTAAAAAGAATAATTTTATTGAATTTTTTTTAGAGAGAGAGGAAGGGAGAGAGAGACAGAAACATCGATATGAGAAAAATCAATCGGCTGCCTCCCGCATGTCCCCCACTGGGGATCAAGCCCCCAACCCGGGCATGTGCCCTGACCAGGAATAGAACTGGAACCTCTTAGTCCATGGGATGACGCTCAATCCACTGAGCCACATCGGCCGGGTGTAGTTCTCATCTTTAGATTGCCTTAAAAATGTATCTTACCATGTATAGGTATTTCTGATTTTTCTTCTGTATCATCAGGCTCTCCAGTGTCTTCTGCTTCTTCTTCAACTTGATTCCTGAGCTTTGGTTGGCTCCACTCTGTAGGAGTAGTACTATAACTAAAAGACAATATTATTCAATAAAGAACTATATATACACCCACAGAGACCAAGTTAATATTCAGAATGGTAAAGAAAAATTCAAACAACTGGATATTTCTTACCCAGCATTCAGCTTTTTTCTGAAATCTTCTTCCTCTTCCTCCTCTTCCACCTGAGTTGCTGCCAGTTCTGCTGCCTTCTCTACAGCCAGTTCACTAAGTCTTTGGGCCAATATTAATCTCCGAGAACGAGAAGCATATTTAATGGCTAAATTCACAGCATTTTGAGTCATCAGATCAGCAAGTTCCACACAACGAAATTCCCGCTCCAGTTTACAGGAAAGCTAGCCCAAAAAGGAAAACCAAACCAAACAAAAAACAAAAAACAAAATCATGTTAAGTTAAACTTTTAAAAAATAGAAGCGTGAAACTACCAGTAAAACTAAAACAAAAGCTTTTCAGATAGTGTATTTCATTAAATCTAAGATGCACATTTTTACACATTCTAACATCTCTGAAACTGGGAAGTGTGTTACAGTTCACAGTAGGTCAAAGTTTAATTGGCAATAATTATTTTTTCTGTCTTAGTGGCTTAAATGAATAAAATAGTGCATTTACAATCAATAGTAGCTTAGATTCAATAAACTATGGTATAACATTTTAAGGTATTCACTGCAAGGAAAGTAAAGAGATTCATTTAAAATTCAAATGTGGTTCTCCTAAATTTGTTTTTCCCACCTTTGCCAAATAGGGTAGCAAATTCAAAGAAGGAAGAAATTGCAAATAATTTGTTACTACTTTGCCCAGAATTGGCACACAAATGCTACTAAATGAATTTGGGTGGGGACAAGCAGATACATCCAAGTTTTAACATGTGATTGTCTATATCTCCAACTACCAGAAACAGCTGTACAACCTCCAAATTAGCAAACAACTTCCTGAGAAACACTGTTCCAGAGGAATCGTTCCTTTAAGACTAAATGGTAATCAAACGTTTCCTTAAATGTATTGCAGGAAGTAAAAAGGTTATTAGTATTCCATTGTGTACATGTACCACAGCTTTTTAATCCACTCATCTACTGATGGACACTTGGGTTGTTTCCAGATCTTAGCTATTGTAAATAGTGCTGCTATGAACATAGGGGTACATATATTTTCTGATCGGTTTCAGGCTTCTTAGGGTATATTCCTAGAAGTGGGATCACTGGGTCAAATGGCAGTTGTAAGAAAGATCTCTTATCCTTTGAGATGGTATAGAAGAACCTAGAGAGTATTATGCTAAGCGAAACAAGCCAAGCAGAGAAAGACAAATTATCTCACTTATTGTGGAATATAATGAACTAAACAAACTGCTGAACAAAATTAACCCAGAGACATGAAGGTGGGGTACAGGCTGACAAGCCTCAGAGGAGGGGGCCTTTACGGGAGAAGAGATAAACCCACAGAACTTACATGCATGTATGCATGACCAATGAACATAGACAACAAAGCTGGGGATGGGGTGGGAGTGGGGTTTCAATGGGGGAAAAGTGAGAAACATCTATAACAAAAACAAATTAATAAATAAAAAATTAAAAATATAATAAAATCGGAGGGAATTAAAAAAAAAAAAAAGTTTACTAGTGCCTAGACCACAAATGACACTTGATAAAAGGAACAAAACTTACTCTACAATAAACGAATTCAATCTCTTTAGAACTAAACTCAAGGCAGTATTGCATAGAGGAGACAGTAGTGAATACCACCTTTTGGAGACTAGTTATAATTAGCTCTGTGGTCTTACATATCACTTTTCCCTCAACTTGAAAATGAAAAGTCTGGCCCATTTACTCTCTCAAGAAAGAGGTCTTCTGTGTATTAGATATCCTTGAGTACTTGGCATGGACACTGGCCTCAAGGGATTTAGAGCCCAGTACAAGATGCGTGGAGAAGAAATGATATCATACTCCTCTCCATAAACCAACCTGTAGTGAGGATAACAATATGAATCTTACGTTTCAAAAAGTTCACTTATCTCCAAAAGTAAAACTACTGAAATATCCCAGGCACCAAACATGGTCACTGGCTATAGACAAACTTTTACCACACAGAGTTACCTAAGAGGATGACAAATAATAGGCATATCTAAAAACCCGATGAAAGTTCTTAAGACTGCTCCCCCTTGGAGGTTTAAAAGTCCAGGAACTCTGTTGCACAGGGTAAAAGCAAGACTAGAGCTCCTGGTTCTCAAATTTTACTAAGCATCAAAACTGCTTGCAGGACCCGTTAAAGCAGTCTGATGGGTAAAAGTAAAAAGGAAGGTTGCACCAGAACAGTTTATTGCTACCTATGATCTTAGATACAGGTCATGTTTTAAATTTTTTAAATGCAATGTCAACTGGAAAACAAAACTTTTTTAAGGGAGAAAAACACCACCAGATACAACTTAAGAATTCTACCTATGGAACTCGGTGCTAATTCACATACCTTTAAAAAAGTGAAACTTAGAAAAACATTTAACTTTAACTTCTTAAGTATATTTATTTTACTTACTGCAAGCATTTTCAGTAACAGTTCCTGTTGTTCTTTTATTGCTTGATTTTTAGTGCTCTCTTCATATTCATAACCATTTTTAGCTAAATAATCAAGATGATTGTGAAACATTACTGAACGCCAAAACTGTTCCTATAAAAGTGGAAAAAATTGCTTAGAATCAACTACCACTTAACACCAGGTGTCAAATATTTATCTTAACATTCTAGTTTCTGCACAAAATATTTTCTGAAATAGCATCTTTATAGCATCAAATTCTAATTAATGTGATACTATGGCTTGACCTTATATCCTATCCTTAAGGGGGGTGGGGAGAAATTAAGCATTTTAAATCTTCCTAGCTATTATAGTTAACGCTCAGAGAAGTTGGTAAACTAGTTTTTTAGAAGCCAATTTGCTTCTTATTTAAAATAAATAATTAGAAGAGTTCAAATGACTTTTGATCATGCCCAGCTAGGACTAAGGGTGAGTCAAGCCAGGTTCCTATGGCACAAAAATTTATGGAGGAACCAGACCCTGACAGTGGGTACCTTACACTAGTGAGGCACTGAGGATACCACCAATTTACCTGAGAGACAAAGTCCCTGGCAGCAGTGATGGCAATCAGGTGCCCCGGTGATCATCAGTAGCCCCCTCCCCCTCTGCTACCTCTATTTAATAATAAGGAATGAGTACTCAACACTGGTCATCAGGATAATTTTTAAATGGCTGTGTCAGGCTGTGCATTATCAAATTTAGTGTCAGTGCAAGATTTCCACATACCTCCATTTGTCCTTTCTCTGTTGCAATCTGACAGAAGGGAAGCTTAAAGGATAATATAGCTACAGCAGGGCGTGGAAGAGTGGGAGGAAACCGAGAGCCTTTACAAGGAATGCACCTGTCAGTAAAAAAAAAAAGTCTCACCATAAAAACATATTTATAATATTAAACTAAATATACCCCTTTAAGATAATGACATTCACTAACAAAATGAATCATCTTGAATGAACATTAGATGGAATAGTAAAAATTCTTATAGGTTCAAAACTTAACCTCTTAAATGTGAATTCCTTCATTCAATTACTAAATAACTTGATTCCTGGGAATAACATACAAGAAATTCCTGAAAACAGCTCAGACCAGTTTGCCTCAGCAGTTAGAGCATGGGCCCGTGGACCAAAGAGTCTCCGGTTCGATTCCAGTCAAGGGCACATACCTCGGTTGAGGTTTGGTCCCTGGCCCTGGTTGGGGTCGTGCGGGAGGCAGCCAATCGATGTCTCTCTCTCTCACATCAATGTTTCTCACTCTCTTTCCCTCTCTCTCTCCCTCCCTCCCACTCTATCTGAAGATAAATGGAAAAATATCCTCTGGTGAGAATTAAAAAAAAAAAAAATCCCTGAGAACAACTTATAACCTAAGAACTGCTAAAAACAATGAACTAATATACTCCATTTGATACTAAAAATGTCCATAATGGAGTATTTGGAGATTCTGAACAGGTAAGATACAGAAACACTAGCCAGCAATTCTTCTACGGTTCTCCACTAGGTTTGATTTTGCATTTTCTAAGACCATGTTTTTTCAAACATCCCACACTGCCAACCACTGCCTTCAAAAATACCCTCAACATTGCTTCACAATCTGCCAACACAAGAGAAGCCATCACACAGGAATTCCTGTCACCCTTCAACTATAAATGTACCTGCAACTGTCGATCTTCTTCCCTCTCCCAACTGATAAAATGTCTTACCTTCCTATTTAGACAGGTGGTCTAAGATCTATCACCTTTGTGTGTGTGTGTAGATTTCACTCCTTCCTTCAAACTATTTCCTTTTCTTACATTGTCAATCTTACCTTCTTTACTGAACTTATTGCTGAAAGAGTACAAAAATGGTCTAGAATCACCCAAACTAAATAATCCCTTCCTCAACTTAGCCAGCTTTCTTTTATTTTAAAAAATCTTCATCAGAGGACATGTTTTTCATTTACTTCAGAGAGAGAGGAAGGTGGGGAGAGAGAGTGAGAAACATCCATGTGAGAAACATTGACTGGTTGCCTTCCATATGCACACTGACTGGGGATCGAACCCCCAACACAGGCTATGTGCCCCGATCAGGAATCAAACCTGCCACCTTCTGGTGTGTGGGACAATGCTTCACCCAAATGAGCCACACCGGCCAGGGCTCAACAGCTTTCTTGAGATTCCACCCCCATCTCTTCCTCTTCACAGCTGAACTTCTTGAAAAGAGTTATCTACATATTTTACTTTTATTTCTTTACTTCCCAGGCTCTCAGACAACCCCTTTCTGGAATTTAACATTTCATCATGTCAATAAAAGCACTTTTATAAGGGTCACCAATAACTTCCATGTATCCAAATTAAGAAGTCTTCTTGAATTTCTTATTTGATTCAGGTTATTGAATTATCTTTCATTTAAAAAAAATTCAACGTATTTAATTTTTGAACAAGCAATACATTTACATGCATAAAGTGTAAAAAAAGAATACAGAGAAGTCTCCTGTACTATCCACTGAGTTTCTTTCTGCCAGGTAAATATTGTTAGTTTCCTCTTTATTCTTCCAGTAATTCTTTGCATATATAAACAAACACAATTACATATTCTTATTCTCTCTCCCTTTTATACAAATGGTATTCATTTTGCCCTGGCCAGTTTGGCTCAGCAGTTAGAGCGTCAACCCGTGGACCAGAGTCGCGGGGTTGACTGGTCAAGGGTACATACCCCGGTTGCGGTTGGTCCCCGGCCCTGGTCCATCCCCAGCACTGGTAGGGGTCCCACGGGAGACAACCAGCCAATGTGTCCCTCTCAGGTCGATGTTTCTGTCTCTCTCCTTCCCTCCCTCCCATTCTATCTAGAGATAAATGGAAAATATCCTCGGGTGAGAATTAAAAATAAATAAATAAAAGTTAAAAACAAACAAAAAAATATGGTATTCATTCCACTTACATCTTACATACTTTCCCACATCTTTACATAGAGCATCCTTACCCTTTTTTAATAATAGCTTTATTAAGGTATAATTCAGGCCCTGGCCAGTTTGCTCAGTGGTTAGAGCATTGGACCAAGGACCAGAGAGTCCTGGGTTCAGTTCCCGCTAAGGGCACATACCTCGGTTACGGTTTGACCCCAGCCCCCGTTGGGGTCGTGTGGGTGGCAACCACTCAATGTGTCTCTCTCACGTCAATGTTTCTCTCTCTCTTCCTCCCTCTCTCCCTCTTGCTCTACCTAAAGATAAATGCAAAAATGTCCTCGGATGCCCAGCCGGTATGGCTCAGTGGCTGAGCTTCGAGCCACGCAACAGGAGGTCACTAGTTTTTGATTCCCAGTCAGGGCACATGCCCAGGTTGTGGGCCTGATCCCCAGTGCGGGGCATGAAGGAGGCGGCCAATCAATGTTCTCTCTTATTGATGTTTCTATCTCTCTCTCCCTCTTCAATTTCTAGTCAAGGGCACATTCCTGGGTTGCAGTTTCAATCCCTAGCCCTGGTCGGGGTCATGTAGGAGGCAACCAATTAATGTGTCTCTCTCTCTCTCTCTCCCTCCCTTCCACTCTATCTAAACATATCTAAACATCAATGGAAAAATATCCTTGGGTAAGGATTAACAACAACAAAAAAACATAAAAAGATATAATTCATATTCCAAAGTTCACATACAATGTACCACAGCCATGACATCAGAGTGTATAATTCAGTTTTTAGTATATTCAGAGTTGTGTATCTATCACTACTAATTCCAAAACATTTTCATCACCTCAGAGAAACCACACCCATCAACAGTCACTCCCTATTCTCCACTGCCCCCTCCCCTGCAACCCCCTGGCAACCACTAATCTACTATCTATCTCTATATAGATTTGCCTATTTTGAAGATTTCATATAAATGGAATCATGTGGCCTTTTGTGTCTGGCTTCATTTACTTAGCATAACATTTTCAAGGTTTATCCAAGCTGTAGCATGTATCAGTATTTTATCCCTTTTTATAGCCCAATAATATTCCATTGTATAGATATACTACATTTAACTTAATCATTCATCAGTTGATGGACATTTGCATTGTTTCCACTTTTTAGCTATTATGAATAAATCTATGATGAACATTCAATTACAAATTTTTGTATGGATGTGTTTTCAATTCTTTTGGGTATATGCCTAGGACAGGAACATCTGGGACATGTGTTAAGTCTGTGTTTAAACTTTTGAGGAACTGCCAAAATCTACCATGTTACATTCCCACCCAGCGATGGCTAAGGGTCTCAATTTATCTGCATCCTCACCAACACTTGTTATTGTCTGTTTTTTGGATTATAGCATCCTAGTGTGTGTGAAGTGATATCTCTTTGGTTTTTATTTGTCCCTAATGACTAATGCTGCTGAATATTTTTTTTCATATGCTTACTGGCCATGTATATACTTTTTGGAGAACTGTCTATTCAAAATCCTTTGCCCATTTTGTATTGAGTCTTTTTTTGAGCTGTAAGAGTTCTCTATATATTCTGGATACACATCACTTATCACATATATGCTTCGATTGATCCTTCTAGAAAATTACATAGTTCTTTAGTGTAAAATGTATAATATTTATTTCTCTGTTCTTCTAAAGAAAATTTAGGTTTGCAATCTTTTGCTATTATTAACAATCCTTCCATGTAGGCTTTCTTTTACATGTTTCATTTCCCACATGGGCTAGTAGCAGTATTTCTTAAGCTTTTTTTTTTTTTCATCCTCACCTGAGGACATTTTTGCATTTCAGATAGAGCAGGAGGGAGAGAGGGAGAAAGAGAGACAGAAACATCGATGCGAGAGAGACACATCGACTGGCTGCCACCCACACAACCCCTACCGGGGCTGGGACAAACTGCAACTGAGGTACGTGCCCTTAGTGGGAACCGAACCCGGGTCTCTCTGGACTGCAGGCCGATGCTATAACCGCTGAGCAAAACCAAACCAGGGCTATTTCTTAAACTTTAATGTGCACACAAATTACATTAAGAGCTTGTTAAAATGCAGGTTCTCATTCAGTAGGTCTGACATGGTGCCTGCAATTCAGCATTTCTAATAATCTCCCTGGTGATGCTGACGCTGTCCATGGATCATACATTAAATAGCAAGTACAATGGAACTTCAGTTCTCGAACTTAATTCAAGAAGGCTGTTTGAGAAGTGATTTGTTGAAAAACTAAATCATTTTTTTCTATTAGAAATAATTGAGCCCAGCTGGTGTGGCTAAGTGGATTGAACATCGTCCCATGGACTTAGAGTTCCAGTTAGGGCACATGCCCAGGTTGCAGGCTTGACTCCCAGTAGGGGTCATGCAGGAAGCAGCTGATCGATGTTTCTCTTTCACATTGATGTTTCTCTCTCTCTCTCTCCCTTTCTCTCTTATCTAAAAAAAATAAGTAAATAAAAGAGATAATGTAAATTGAATTAATCCTTCCAGACCCCCAAATGATTCCATTTTAACTTTTCTTTTATACAGTATATGTCTAATGAACTGTTTAATCTATAAACAAACACTTTTAAAAAAGATTTTATATCAAACCACCGCCTACTAGCCTTAAACGAACACTTTCAGCACTCGTGCCAGGGGTGTCTTTCAGAAGTCAGCATGCAGCATCTTTGCTTTTTTTTAAATTTTTTTTTTTTAATCCTCACCTGAGGATATTTTTCCATTTATCTTCAGATAGAGTGGGAGAGAGGGAAAAGGGAGAGAGAGAGAGAGAAACATCGACATGAGAGAGACACATCGATTGGTTGCCTTGGGCACAACTTCGACTGGGGCAGAGGATCAAACTTGCAACCCAGGTACGTGCCCTTGACTGGGAATTGAACCCACAACCCTTTGGTCCTCAGGCCAATGCTCTGACCACTGAGCCAAACTGGCCAGGCCATCTTCACTTTTTCACATATCACTGCTTCGAAAATGCTGTCACTAGGTAACTACTTTTCCTTTATCCAAATCATCAGTTTTCCTCCTCAATTGCCTGTGTTCAGTTTCTTTTAGCCACATTAGCACTCTTGATGGCCTCTTTACATTTAAAAATTATGCTAATTGTCCATTTTGCCAGCAACAAAAACAAACAAACAAAAAAGCACAAAAATATTCACAGCACAATTTCTTGAGATATTAATAACACAACATTCAGTGGTAAACTGACTCACATTCTCTCCTTTGTTTGTGGCCTGAGAGACACTTTGTCATGCTGATGCATGAGCATGAAAGGGCTGTTCAACAACCAAGGTTTGACTGTACTAGCATATCTTTAGGACAAATCCTAAAAGCAGAATTATTCGGTCAAAGGCCATATGCATTTCTAATTCTTGTAGTTCTTGACAATTTGCCTTCCACAGGGATTTCAACCAATGTGCACTCCCATCAGCAACACATAAACATGATTATTTCACCATAGCCCCACAAACACTAAGAGTATTATCAAAGTTTTAGATTTCTCCAATTTGATAGGTAAAAGAGAATTCTGTGTAATAAAAGATAAAATGCCATGTCTAACCAGAACCTCCCATCCCTATCAGACTGAAATGACATTATGGTCACACTAATAAACTTAATTCCTATTTTGTTCAATAACTTCCAAGTCAAGTAATTGGTTGAAAACTTAACAGTGAATATAAACAAACTCATAATTTAGTGAATACAGAAAGTCACTAAGGTGAAAAACAAATAAAAATACACTTTGAAAGCTTGTTCTAACAGCCCACCTCAGTTGCTGGGGATTTTCATGGATACCAACTACCCAGTAGTGATCAGATTTTCCTTTGCAGTGTTCTCTTGTATTACATACAGGAGTCCACGTATTACCAAGCCCTCTGTTAAGCATTCGAACAATGCCTTCTGAGTCCACAAAACAGGGGGTACCTATATATGAACAGAAAAACAAATCACTTGGAAACACAGCTACATATTTGGTAAATAAATACTATGTTAAATATACATATCAATGATTCAACTTTCAATTCAAAAGTAAACAGAAAAAAACCCAAAAAGCAAAAAGGCAAATAATGCAAGTTTATTTTTTTACAAAAATTTCATTAACCACATAGAGTAAGACCTAAAAGAAGAAATGGGAAAAAATACCTAAGATATGACTGATATTTACCCAAATAAAGAGAAAAAATTAATAGGTTCAGTGAAAACTATGCCATCTGCTGGAACATAACAATATTTTCAAAAGCCAATTTTAGTAAAAAAAATTAAACTTAAATCTGAAACCTCCCTGGTTAAGAGACTTAGAAAAATACCAAAACCTGAAACAAGGTGAGGATGTAAAGAATCTGTCTTTAGTATTCCTCTTTCCCCTTCTCTTCCTTAGGCTTATTACTGTTCTGTCCCCTGACTTCAAGGTAAGCATTCCTAGTCTGCTCCCATCTCAGGAAGTGCCCAGCAAACTCCCTAATTACCCCTTTTCTTATCTGACTTCACAGCCCTCCCATTCTGCAAACAGCAGTTTCCTCAGAGTCTAGATCTGATTGGTAATTGGGAAAAAAAGATATATAGATGGAAGTTATTCACGGTCACATTATTTAATTTAATTTATTTTTTATCCTCACCTGAGGAAATTTTTGCATTTATCTTTAAATAGAGCAGGAGGGAGAGAGGGAGGAAGAGAGAGAGAAAAACACTGATGTGAGACACATCAACTGGTTGCCACCCACACGACTCCAACCGGGGCAGGGGACAAACTGCAAGCGAGGTACGTGCCCTTAGCGGGAACAGAACCCGGGACTCTCTGCCGAGCCAAACCGGCCAGGGCCATGGTCACATTATTAAAACATAAACGACTAATAATATCCCAACAGAAAAACACATCCAGAAATGATTGATGTTTTAAAGATAAAACTGGAGTTTCTAAAGATGTAACCGAAGGACACGAATCTCCAATACTAGAAATATTTAAGGCAAGAGAAAGGGTTAACAGGCTCATTAAAATAAGGTAATCTTCAGTATCCTTTAAATAATCTGTTACAGCCACTATTATATGAATTGACAACCATCCCGTCCAACAGAAATATGTGAGCCACAAATATAATTTTTAATTTCCTAGTACCACATGAGAAAGGGGGGAAAGTAAAGTTAATTCTAATTTATATTTCATTAAATCCAACATACACAAAATATAATCATTTTAACATGTAATCAATATAAAATAGTTATTAATAAAATTATTTTACATTCTCTTTTCATACAAGTCTTCAAAATTCGGATAGTATTTTATACTTATAATACATCTTAATTCAGATTAGCCACATTTCAAGCATTCAGTAGCCACATGTGCCTGGTATTTACTATAGCAGACAGTGCAGCAATAGAAAATTCCTGATTTTTATGTGGAATCTGCTGGAATACCTACAATTTTATCATTGATTTCTATTTCCTCCTTGCTATCTCAGTAAGCTTCCAGAAAAATTAATTTCCTCTCTATAAGTTTTCTAATCAGAATTCTCATGAAAAAAAAAAAGACTTTGTACCTAAAACAATGGTTACCTTCCCTAACAATCCCAGTTTCCAGTTTTGTCAGCATATTACATTTAAATCAATTTAAACAATTTATCTATAAAGAAATTAGGAAAAAACAATGAAACAACTTTTTTCTTGAAAAATGTCTTTAATATAAATAAATGAATTTGTCTTGCCTTCAGCTGAAAATCCAACCCATACAAGATACGACTTCTTTGTAAGAGGAAGAGGATCACCATGCAAAATTTGTTTTTTCTCTTTCCCCATCTGTAGCAGATAAACTCCAAGGCACTGATCCCCATCAAATCCTGTTCCTAATGAAAAAAATATAAATATAAATCAGGTATCAAAGTTTATTTAACTATAATGCAATCTAAATTATATTCTGTGAATTGAACTGATTTTGTTTCTTAGATTAATCAGCACTAGTTTCTATGGACAATCCAACTAACTGAGGCACTGTGCATTCAGGTATTAGAGGCAGAACACTATGTTACATGGACTATTTATATAAAGTGGTTATAAGTAGTATATTATTCATTCAAGAAATATTTACAGAGAGCTTACTATGTGCCAAGCACTGGGGCTGCAATGATAGACAAGACAAAGTCACTGTTCTCATGGAATTCATATTCAGGTAGAATACAAATGAATTAAAGAACAAACAAAAGAACAAAAATGCTAAGTGTTATCAAAGAGTTAAAATAATAATGTGATACAGAGTGCCAGACTGAGTAGTTACTTTAAAATGGCTAGTCAGAGATGGCCTCTGAGAAAGTGAAATTTAAGCTAAAATATGATTTTTTTCCCCCTTTATTGAGAGAGGTTTAGAGAGAGAGGAAGGGAGAGGGAGAGAGAGGTAGAAACATCAATGAGAAAGAACACTGATTGGCCACCTCCTGCATGCCCCACACTGGGGACTGGGGCTACACCTGGGCATGTGCCCTGACCAGGAATCGAACCAGCGACCTCTTGGTGCACTGAGCCACACTGGTCGAGCTGAGATATATATTTTAAGTTGGAGCCAGCCAGCCAAATGTTAGGAAGAGGAACTCTACAGTAAAAGGTCCTAAGGTGGGAACAAGCGTGGTGAGTCTGAAGAACACAAACAAGCCACTATGGCCAGAATGAGTAACAAGAGAAAAAGTGTCAGAGATGAAATGGAAGAGGCAGGCAAAGATCAGATCATGTAGGACCCTGTCAACTAAGATAAGTTTGATCTTTATTCTAAAAGCATGGGGAAGTCATCAGAGGAATCTAAGTGAAGAGGTTCTTGGTTGTTTTTTGTTTTGTTTTGTTTTTTTATCCTCACCCAAGGACATTTTTGCATTTATCTTCAGATAGAGTGAGAGGGAGAGAGGGAGGAAGAGAGAGAAACATCAATGTGAGAGAGACACATCGAGTGGTTGCCACCCACACGACCCCAACTGGGGCCAGGGACAAGCTGCAACCGAGGTATGTGCCCTTAGTGGGAAGAAGAGGTTCTTGTGTTTAACAGATTACCCAGGCTGTTATGTGGAGAATGAATTACAGAAATACAAGAATTGAAGCTGAAAGACTGGTAGAAGGCTGTTGCAACAGCCCAAGAGATGACATCTGGGCTGGACTAGGATTTTAGTGGAGGAGACAAAGAGACAGATCTGGAATATGTTATTCCAAAGACCTGACGGGATGATATGATCTTATTGGCAGAGTTGATCTGGGGTGTGGGGGTAGGGAGAGAGAGAAGAATCAAGGATGACTCTTACATCCCTGCCTTGCATAGCTGCACTGATAGAATGCTGTTTACCAAGATGGAGTAACTAAGTAAGAAGAAAGTCTGAAGGGAAAAAATATATCAAAGGGTTTATCATGATCAAGTTAAGTTTGATATGTGTATCAAACCTACATAGAAATTTTAAGTGGGCAAGTCTGAAAAAACAAGAGTAGGGCTGGTGATATTGATTTAGAGTCATAGACACATGGATGTAAGTAAAGACATGAGTCATAATGAGATGCCCCAGGATACTTTCTCAAACTGCATTTTTTGACCTATGAGTCATGAAATAAATTTAGAATTGCAATCATCATTTAAAGAAAAAAATCAGAGTAAATATTGTCCATGAGACTTTTGTTTCAGTTACATTTGCAAGTATATTCGGAAAAGCAATATAGAATGTAGTTCTTACTATGGCTAAGCAGTCAAAAGACTGAAAGTTTCTGACTTAAAGATTACTAGAGAAGAGGGGCTGTGACTAAATGCTAGAGCACTCCAGGGGTCAGCATAGGAGGAGGAGCCAGCAAAAGAGCTGAAAGAACTATCCATGAGGGGGAAAAATCAGGAGAGTAATATCACAGAAGTCAAGACAAGAAAGTATTTCTGATAGAATTATTCTTTAAAAACAAGCATCAAGAAATCACTGGTCTGAACAGAGTGGTGGGGACTGAAGAGAGACTACGAGGTAAGGAACAGAAAGCAGTAACTTTCTGAAAAGTCATATTCAAAGCTGTTTTGGTCCTTCAGACTAGAAACAGTTTAGTTTTTGAGGCATTTAAACTGAAAATTCTTTTAAGATATAGATATGGAAGTAATTAACCAAACTCTATCGTGAAATTCTTTCCCTAATCTAGTTCTTCTATAAACAAAACATTTTCATTCTTATTGCTATTAGTGAATACAATAAAATTCTTTACATTTAAAAATTACACTGATTCAAATGCTAAAATAAATGCAAATGGAGGCATATAATCCAAAACAAACAAAAAGAGAGAGAGAGAGAGAGAGAGAGAGAGAGACAGAGAGAGAGAGAGAGAGAGAAAGAGCGAGCTCAAGTAATTTACATTTACTTTAGGTTATGGTAAAAATATAAAAAAATTGCCCTGGCCAGTGTGGCTCAGTGGTTGGAGCGTTGGTCCATGCACCAAAGGGTCTCGAGTTTGATTTCCGGTCAAAGCACATATTTTGGTTGCAGGTTCAATCTCAGGTCCCAGTTGGGGCACATGTAGAAGGCAACCAATCAATGTTTCTCTTTCTCTCTCTCTCTCTCCCTCTCCCTCCTTCCCTTCTTCTCTAAAAATCAATGGAAAAAATATCCTTTGTGAGAATTAACAAAAAAAACCCACAAAGTATAAAAGACTGAAAAAACCTACCTCTATGATAAACAATGAAAAGCTGTTCTCCATGTCCTGCCATTGACACCACAGGCCCAGGAAGACTGAAGATCTCTTTCTGAACACCTCCAATAGAAAACAATCGAAGGAGCAAGGCACTAGTGGCAGCAGCAGCCCATCCGTGACCAAGGCATATGGCTTCAATATCCTCATTCTGAGGCATGTCTACTATCCACTCTTTACTTGAATCCCAAGAACTAAAGTGCAGGCAGTGAAGCTTGCTAAAAATGAAAACAAGGTGGAAAATAATCAAAGTTTCATATTTGATATTTTATATATAACTAATCATGATACCCAGTAACAAAACCAAATAATGTAGTTTATTTTTCTGTTATATACAAATAGTACAGGAAATATCTTTAAGAAAGTCATTGTGAAATATACCTAAAATGAACTAGATTAAAACCATTAACAGTTAAGTTATTGAAGAATATTTAAACATACAAAAAAATGCTCACAACATAATGTTAAATTAAAAAAAAAAAGGCTAAAATCTGCAGAGTATTATCCTAGGTTGTAAATGCATACAAATATCACAACCACATTTTTTTTAAAAAGAAGAAAGCTTCAAAATGTTAGGCAACAGTTCTCTCACTGGTAATAATAAAATTAATATGGGAGAACAAAAAGAGAATGAAAATCCATATAATCCTATTAGTGCTTGCTGATAATTTGTTTCTTTTTTCTTCTTTGCAAATATATATGTGTATGTGTAAACAAACACGCACACAGACACACATTATTAAACTTAGGCTTCGGAATGCAGATACCATAGTATTGGTAATTTGAGGTAGTACTGACTTTCTGAACAATAATTTAAAAAATTCAATTTTAAAATGAAAAGGTAATATTATAGATGGCTATGAAATGATATATCTAGAAAAACAAAGAGAAGAGTATCTGAAATCAAAATTACACATGAGCCCTGGCTAGTATTGGTCAGAGGTTAGAGCAACAGCCCTCAGACCAATGAGTCGCAGGTTTGATTCCAATCAAGGGCACGTACCTCAGTTGTGGTTCGTCCCCAGCCCTGGTCGGGGTCTTGTGGAAGACAACCAGTCGATGTGTCCCTCTCACTTTGATGTTTCTCTCTTTCTCCCCCTCTCTCCCTCCTTCCCACTCTATCTGAAGATAAATAGAAAAATATCCTTGGGTGAGGATTAAAAAACAAACAAACAAACAGAAAAAAAAAGAAAAAGAAAAGAAAGTGTACAAATTTAATGGTTAAAAAAAATTACACATTAAAATACAAGCTCTCATTATGTAAGAGATTCTGAATTAAAGACACTAAGTCAACAGTGATCTGTTTTAATAAAATGATTTAATTCAAGCATGTAGTGCTGAATTTTATAATGTGTAAATTAGGGAACCAAATAAAATTTTTAAATGACCTAATATACACCAGAAACTAATATAATATTGCATGTCAACTGTAATTGAAAAAAATTTTTAATTAATTTTAGAAATGACCTAATAAAGTATTTCTCAGACTTTAATACATGCTCAATCACCTGAGAATTTTGTTAAAATACAGATTTTGATTCAGATCTGAGGTAGGGCCTGATATTCTGTGTTTTCAACAAGCTCTCAGGTGGCCCCTCCCCATTAGTTTGCAGACTACACTTTAAATATCAAGGAACTAATATATCTAATCAGAAGAATCTGAATTTCAAATCACCTGGAAGTTAGTAAAATCTATTATTAAGTATATAAATATTATAAACAGTTGAAGAAAGATCAAGAGAGAGCAAACTGGCTGGAATAACAAAAGGTTAGTAAAATATTTCTTCTTCTTAAAAAAAAAAAAAATTCTGCATCTGCTGCTTTTTATCATATTTTTTTTTCTGTTTGTCTGTCTACCTACCTACCTATCGAAATATCTAAGAAATCCAAAATATACTAAGTTAAAAAAAAAAAATCAAACAGGTAAATAGTACTAGCAACATTTTTTTGGTGGTGTTCTTTTTTTAAGAAAAGTTTCAAATCTAATCTATATTGACAAAAAAAAACAACAACAAAAATGTCCACATCAGTAATTGTCCAAGGACTAGGAATGGATAAAACTACAAAGAAATATGAGGGAACATTTTTGGGTAATAAAAAATATTCTGATTATCATAATGGTTACTCGAGTATATACTCATTTGTTAAACTTATCAAAACTATAAATCTAAAATGGGTGCATTTTATTGTATATAAATGATATCTCTATAAGTAAATTTAAAAGTGGGGTTCACACAAAAAGAAATCTGGAAGGATATATATTATAGTGTTAATAGTAGTGATATCTAAGTAGTATTCTGGGGAGAACTTTCATTTTCTAAATATTCTGTACTTAAGTTGGCTTACAATTAATATATATTATTCTCATACTAATAAAAAACAGTAACAATGTAAAAAATAGTCCCATTTGTCTACAAATCAGGTCATGTCATTCTGAAACTTACTTAGAGAATGTAACACAGGGACAATTAGGCAAAAATAGATATGTTCCGGGGTATTATGGGTCGGCTGGTATTTATACTAAGCTCTTCGTTCTGAAATTCCATACTATAAAAGGTATAATTTTGTTTTATTAACTTTTAACTCATGTACTGAATTTCAACAACTGTAACTAACAGTTCAACAGTAACAAATTCTTCCTAATAATCTCAAATTTACCTTGCTAGTTCATCAGTGCTTTCACATGCCAACAAAATAGCTTCATGGGAAAGATCTGCTATTGTATAATTCAAAGTGTTTGATAAGTGTGTTGCATGGTGTATGGAGGTATCATGGAACTCCACATCTATGGCATTGTCTTGCTCATCATTATAGCAGCGAATGATTCCAACAGAGTTCCACACCTACAAACATGTAAGGTAAATACAAGTCTGAGAAAAACCAAAGCTCTAAGAATCAGTAGGCTAAAGTTATACAAATGAACAAATATTATAATTCAGTCTACATCAAGATTTAGGTTATAGGAGTAACCACAGCTCATCTACTTCTGAATTGTTTCAGGTAACACTAGTAATATCAAAGCTACAATAACAAAGTATTTCATCTTCATGGGAAGAAAGTATATATAATACAAATTTACTAAGAAATGAAATATTTCATTTAATACTTTATAACTGGCCTTTGAACAACCAAATAATATTCCTAAAAAAATACAGATATTTAAAATTTAAAGTATGGTTATAAATGACAGCATATTTTTCTGTTCCAAATAACTGGTTTATGTTATAGTAATAAATGCATACATTTTAAAGCAACAAAAATTGTTACCATTTTGGAAAAATATCTTCCACTGATGTATACTACGGGCTCACAAGAGGCCCTAGTGTTTCCTTTCCTCTACAACAAATAACTCTATATAAATAAAATAGCTGACAATAATAAAAAATTAAGATTACTTGATGATGATTACTGATGCAAAGTAAAGTAAAATAAAACATCACCTTTAATATTTACATATAAATTTCTGCCAGGCCTATAACTTTCAAGAAGGACAAGTCCTCAGTGGAAAACCTCAAATAATAAATAAATCAAAATATTAAACTTCTTTAGCTCTCAAACTTAAGACAAAAAGCTAACATTCATTCATCCATTCAGAAAACATATATTTAATGCCTAATGTGCCATACATTGTTCTAAGTGCTATCAGTAAATAAAACAGAAAAATCTTTATCCTTGGGGAGTTTACATTCTGGTAGGATGGGAAAAAAGAGGCAGGCCCTGGCCGGTTTGGCTCAGCGGTTGGAGCATTGGCCTGCAGACCAGAGAGTCCTGGGTTCAGTTTCCGTAGGGGCACATACCAAAAAAAAAAAAAGAAAGAAAGAAAAAAGGAGCAGATAGTTCTTTTTCATAGATGTATCACATAATAATATCACTATAAAAGCTGCCTTCCAAAAAATACCTTCTAACTAGCACTTTGGAGTCAGTATAATCTTATATATAAAAACTCATATAATATGAGAAATAAGGCTTAGAAGTATAGCCAAGAGGAAATACAAGATATACAGTCACATTTACTTAGGTTCATTATATATCATTTTGCATAGCAAATTTTTATTTAACACAATTTTTAATAACAAAGATGAAATAAGACTAAGGCTGTGAGTTAACAATAATATAAATTAACCACAAAATTAAAATACACCAGAGGGTTGCAGGCCCATTTTTTAAAAATATTTTTTAAAAATCAAGTTTTTAAAAAATATTTTTACCAAAGTAATTAGCTATAGTGAGACAAAATGCTTATAGTGAGATAAAACTATTTTAAGAGTTAAGTGTAGATCCAAGGCTTACCATGAATCTGTGAGTGAGATGCAAGGGTGTAGAACCTGACTGAAATGGCTTTTGCCGGGGAGTTGGCATAGGTCCATCATAAAATGGCCTTTGGGATGTTACAACTGGTAGATTGTAAATGCTGTCTGCTTGATCATCTTCCTCCTTCTCTTTTAGAAGACTAGAACCAGTTTTTAGCATTGTAATATCTAAAAAACAAGGGGTTATAATCAGTGAATCATAAATAACAATGACCTGGAAAAAGAAAAGCATTATGATATCTAATAACCTTTTCACTCATACTTAGTAATACTCACATGCTCTTTGCCTCTTTCCCTTTAACATTTGCAGTGATGGTGCAAAACCAATGGAGGGTCAAACTACTGGTGCCTTAGCATTAATCAAGGCAGGGGCACCAACCTATCAGTGGTCAATGCATTGTTAACCACTATTCAACTGCAGTAAAAACATAATTTTATTAAAGCTTGATCCTTGCACAGATTTTTTTTAATGTTCTCTGTACTAAAATGGGAAGTGTAAATAAATGATGATGGTTGTCTCAAAAAATAAAAACACTTGAGCAATCGAGTTGTAAACTGAACTGATTTTTTCATGAAACACAATTTTTACTTGAAAGAATGCCAGATAAACTATGGTTATGCAGACCTGGGTATTTGGCAAACATTTTCTTGAAAATGAGTAACTGAATTTGTTGCCAATGATAAAACTTGAGCTAAAAATGAAAAGCAGAATACTGGAAAACTTGTATCTGCCACCATAAGCTTGATTACTTCCCAATATTTAAAAACTTCTGATGAGATTGGTGATGATACTAACAAATATATTTTGGATAATGCATTCATAGTAGGAAGGTCCACAAACTTTAGTGAACCAGTATTTACTGATCACCAGCGCATATATTACAAAATCAAATCTGGTAAAAGATTCATTCAAAGTTCAAGTTAGACCAACAGATTTTAATGTAATAGAGTTGAAAAGTTCACTGAAAAGTTTTCAAGCCCTGACTGGATAGCTCAGTTGGTTAGTGTCATCCCAATATGCCAAGGTTATGGGTTCAATCTCTAGTCAAGGCACATAGCAACCAATGAATGCATAAGTAAGTGGAACAACAAATCAATGCTTCTCTCTCTCTTCCTCTCTCTCTCAAATCAATAAATTTAAAAAAAAAAGAAAAATTTTCAGATTTCATACGCAAGTAATATTTACGAAGCTTTCATGTGTTGTGTTTTTGGTGAGGTATCAATGAAGAAAATTCACAATTATGTGAATAGGCTATTAAAATACTTCCTTTTCAAACTACATTTTTGTGTGGTACTGATTTTTCTTCATATACTTCCAGCAAAAACAATACATAGCAGTACAGTGAACTCGAGACCAAATCATTTGTGTACTACTCTTCAATAAACCCAATGTGATTTAAATTCAGCACAATTTACCACTGTACACTGGCATTTTACTGTTAACATTCCAATGTGTTACTTTAGTAGGTAAGTTGTTGCAATAGGCACTTTATTTGAAGGTTTTTTAATTACAATCTTAATTTCTTTAACAGATACAGTACTATTCAGATGATCTATTTCTTCTTGAGTTACCTTGGGTGTTTGCATCTTCCAAATAATGTGTCCACATTATCTACATTGCTGAATTTATGGGCACAAAGTTACTAATCATATTCTATTATCCTTATGATATTAATAGCAGTATCATCACTTTTTATAAGCTTACAGAAACATGTGAGTTGTCTTACAGAAACATGATGTGAGATCTATATGCAATTTAAATTTTCTGGTACCCATATTTTAAAAAGTAAAAACAGGGATAATTAGTTTTAATAATATATTGCACTTAAAATATAATTTTAGCCCTGGCCAGTTTGGCTCAGCAGTTAGAGCATCGGCCCTTGGACCAATGAGTCGCAGGTTCGATTCTGATTAAGGACATGTACCTCGGTTGCGGTTCGTCCCCAGCCCTGGTTGGGGTCATGCAGAAGGCAACCAGTCGATGTGTCCCTCTCATCAATGTTTCTATCTCTCTCTCTAAAAAAATCAATTAAAATATATTTAAAATAATAATAATAAAATATAATTTCAGCATGAACTAAGATATTTTATGCTCTTATTTTTGTACTATTTTTGAAAATTTGATTGCATTATACACTTAACATCACTTCTTAATTTGAACTAGTCACCTTTCAAGTGCTCAGTAACCACATGTGGCAGGTGGAGACCATATTGAATAGTGTAGGATTATAGGATCTATGGTGATGACCCCTTTTTCATCACTTAAACAGCTTTTTGTTTCAATGGCTTTTTAAATAGTTTTGTCACTGTCAATTTCATTTAATTCTGCTTTCTATTATTTCCTTTCTTCTGCTTGCTTGGGGTTAATTTCCTCTTCTCTTTGGAGTTCACTAAAGCAAAAATATAGCTCAATGATCTGAAATCTTTTCTAACATAGTATTTAATGCTATAAATTTCCCTCTACATACTGCTTTAGCTACATTCCACAAAATCAATAATGTCTTTAAATAATAGTTTAAATAGTTTAAATAAAAATTGATGGATCATCAATCCACAAGTCAATTCATACCAACTGAGTTTTCATCATCTTCTAGGAAGTGACTTCGATGTCTAGGACGACCTGAAGCCAGCATGATGTCATCATCCTCATCATCATTTATAATCCTTTTTGAAAAAGAGGGGGTCTCGACTGCATTGTCATTTAGAAAATCACCAACATTACTCGTATCATCTCCATCAAAAAGATCATTGTAATCCTTTTCCACTCTGCTAGTTACCTTGAACAAATTAATACAAATTAGAAAGTATTAGTAAACTATTTTGATAAACTCAATCTTTTAATATGCACCTAAAAACTCTATTAAGCGCTCTTTTTCATGGCGCCTCGGAGGCAGTCGGCTGCTTCTAGATGAAGCTGAACATCTCTTTCCCAGCCACTCACTACCAGAAACTCATTGAAGTGGATGATGAAGGCAAACTTCGAATCTTTTATGAGAAGCGTGTGGCCACAGAAGTTGCTGCTGACACCCTGGGTGAAGAATGGAAGGGCTATGTGGTTCGAATCAGTGGTGGGAATGACAAACAAGGTTTCCCCATGAAGCAGGGCGTCTTGACCCATGGCCGTGTCTGCCTGTTCCTGAGTAAGGGGTATTCCTGCTATAGACCATTGAGGACAGGAGAGAGGAAGCGCAAATGTGTTCAGGGCTGCATTGTGGATGCCAATCTCAGTGTTTCAATTTGGTCATTGTAAAAAAAGGGGAGAAAGATATTCCTGGTCGCACTGATACTACTGTGCCTCGTCGCCTGAGTCCCAAGAGAGCTAGCAGAATCTGAAAACTTTTCAATCTCTCTAAAGAAGATGATGTCCACCAGGATGTTGTGAGGAAGCCCCTAAACAAAGAAGGTAAGAAACCTAGGACTAAAGCACCCAAGATTCAGTGCCTTGTTACTCCACGTGTCCTGCAACACAAACATCGGCGTATTGCTCTGAAGAAACAACGTACTAAGAAAAATAAGGAAGAGGTTGCAGAATATGCTAAACTTTAGGCTAAGAGAATGAAGGAGGCGAAAGAAAAGTGTCAGGAACAGATCACCAAGAGACCAAGAGACAAAGGCTGTCCTCTGAAAGCTTCTACCTCTAAGTCTGAGTCCAGTCAAAAATGAGCTTTTCTAAGAGTGACAAATACATAAGAAACATCAAATCTCCAAAAAAAAGCAAATGCCCTGATAAGACTAATTAGTAAGTGTATATATGAGGATTATATTTATATAAGACTTAGTCCTTACTTTATTATTATTTCTTATCGTCACCCGAGGACATTTTTCCATTTTTTTTTGTTCAGATAGAGTGAGAGGGAGGGGGGGGGGAGAGAGAGAGAGAGAGAGAGAGAGAGAGAAACATCGACGTGAAAGGGACACATCGAGTGGCTGCCACCCACATGACCCAACCAGGGCCAGGGACAAACTGCAACTGAGGTACATGCCCTTAGTGGGAACCAAACCTGGGTCTCTAGGGACCACAGGCCAACGCTCTAAACGCTGAGCCAATCCGGCCAGGGCTTAGTCTTTACTTTAAATGCCTTATAGTCTATGAATAGGGCAGAAGTGTAAGATAAAGAGGTAAAGAAATACTGTATATCCCCAAATACAATGCAAGATTTTATTCCCTAAAAGTCATTTCCCAGAAAAGAAGTACCTATAAGTCCCTAGTTATAAGATATTCCCTCATTTACTTTTATTTTGAAAATACTACTTAGGTAAGATGTATTTGCTTTCAATTATCTCAGTTCAAGCTAGTCTTATTTTGTTGCTTATAGAAGTAAACAGAATATAACCAACAGAAAAACAAAGAAGGTAATGAAATTCAACAGAGTTAATCATTGATTCCTAGGAATACGAACATACCATTGAATGTGTTGAATGTCACTATGAACAGTTTTTGAGATCACTTTAAAAAGTGAAATAGTCTGGCACTGGCCGGTTTGGCTCAGCGGTTAGAGCATAGGCCTGCGATCCAGAGAGACCCAGGTTCGGTTCCCACTAGGGGCACAACCTCAGTTGCAGTTTGTCCCCAGCCCTGGTTGGGTCATGCGGGTGGCAACCACTCGATGTGTTCCTTTCACGTCGATGTTTCTCTCTCCCTCCCACTCTATCTGAACAAAGAACAGAAAAATGTCCTCAGGTGAGGATAAAAAAAAAAAGTAAAATAGTCTGGCTGGTGTGGCTCAGTTGTTGAGCGTCAACCCATACACCAAGAGGTCGCCGTTTCAAGGTTGTAGGCCCAGTCTCCAGTGTGGGGCATGCAGGATGCATCCAAATGATGTTCTCTCTCATCAATGTTTCTATCTCTCTCTCTCTATATAAAAAATCAATAAAGAAAAAATTTTTTTTAATAAAAATAAAAAGTGAAATAGTGGACCTGGTTGGGTAGCTCAGTTGGTTGGAGCATCACCCTGATGCACCAAAGTTGCAGCACATACAAGTATCAAACAATGAATGCATAAATAAGTGGAACAACAAATAGATATCTCTTTCTCTTTCAAAAGTCATAACTTTTTCTTTAAAAAGTAAGAAAGGAAAAGTGAAATACATTGTAGTGATCACAAATTACTCCTATAAGGTGAATGAAAACTGTACAAATGTTAAGCCAATGGAAACTTATAGTTTGTTATAAAATTCTAATTAGAACATCATTAATAAATTCAAAAGGGACTATCATAAACCTTTTATTTATTTATTCTTTATTGATTTGAGAGAGAGAAAGGGAGAGGGAGAGAAATAGAAACATTGATGAGAAAGAACATTGACTGGCCGCCTCTTACATGCCCCCCACTGAGGACTGGGCCTACAACCTGGGCATGTGCCATGACAGGGAGTCCAACCAGCAACCTCTTGGTGCATGGGTCAACTGTTCAACCACTGAGCAACAGCAGCTGGGCTATCACAAACCTGTTAGATGGAAGTTCATATGATTGTTCTGAAAAACTAATGTTCAATAATATGAGAGCAAAAATACCTCTAAATTCATAGTTAAACCTATGATTTGAGAGTAATTATATAACTACAGGCTTTACGATACATAACTATTTCACTTATAGCCTGAAAAGTTTATGTACTCAGGTTGGTGAAAACATTTTTTGGATTTTATTGGAAAATGAGGGTTTTGCCTTACATTTATGGTGAGGGACACAAAGTGTTCAAAGTTTTTATAAGAAAAATATGTACTGCAAAGAGTAAAAGAACACAGGAAAAAGTGAGCACTTCTGGATAGAAGATAGGTTTTATAAGAGATGACTTTTGAACTAAAAATTAGTTCTCAATTTACTTCTTGTTTTTAATCATGAATTTATACATGAATATAAATTACACAAACAGCATTATAAAAATGAAAATAGTCTTCTGCATAGCCTTTGCTTAGTTGTTTCTTTTGATACCTTCCTGCATATCTGTAAACAACAGTCCAGTGCTATTTATTTTTTTAATCCTCAGCCAAGGATATTCTTTTTATTGTTTTAGAGAGAAAAAGGGAAGGAGGAAGGAAAAGAGGGTAGTATCAGTGTGAAACATTGATCAGCTACCTTTCCTTAAAGCACCCCCCCAATGGGATTCAAACCTGAGACCCTTTCATGCAGGGGATATGCTCCAACCGAGGCACATCAGCCAGGGCCCGGTGCTATTTCTTTATTTTTCAGTTTTAATCATTATTTATTTAATAGATCCTAACTATCTTCTATTAAGGAAAATAAGGATTTTGTGAGATTTTTCAACCAACCCTACCCCTATGCATGTACACTATTCTCCTACCTTAATCTTCCCAATACAGATATAAGCATATATACTTTTATTTAATCCTTTTCAGTACAGTATTCCCCCTCACTCAATGCCACTTAACTGTTAAGTATACCTGGACCAAAGAATGACCTTCTCTATTTTATTTTTTTAATAGAGAGGATCAGTAATCTTTTTTTTTCCCCCCATTGATTTTAGAGAGTCAGAGAGAGAGAGAGAAACATCGATTTATTGTTCCACTTATTTATGCATTCATTGGTTGATTCTTGTATGTACCCCAACTGGGGATCAAACCACAACCTTGGCATATCAGGACGATGCTGTAACCAACTATGCTACCCAGCCAGGGCAATATTCTCTATTTTACCTTTACTAAAGAATAAATCTCCAGCATTCCACCAGAAGTATAGGGGTGAAGGAGGAGAGTTACCCAGCTGTGCACACTGATGTTGACACTGGAGGGATCTAATTCCTTATGAAAACAAAATTCCTGTTTTCAGCCCTACTTTCAGAACTATCTAGTGCTAGCAAATTCTCAATCTTTGGAAAGTCATCCAGGCATCTCAGTTTTCCTCATTTAGGTCTTAGGATTCAACTTTTTGAAAAAGTAAAGTTAGTTTCCAATCATTCTTCTATTTTCCAGCCTCCAAAATACTGGTACCATCTTCACTGCAATTCTCTTCCTTAACCTTATGGGATAATACATTTTAAAAAATTCCTTTTGTCCAGCAGGTGTGGCTCAGTGGTTGAGCATCGACCCATACACCAAAAGGTCACTGGTTCGATTCCTGGTCAGGACACATGCCCAGGTTGTGAGCCCGACCCCCAGTAGGGGCATGCAGGAGGCGGCCAATGGATGTTCTCTCTCATCAGTGTTTCTATCTCTCTGTCCCTTTCACTTCCTCTCTCTCTAAAATCAATAAAGAAATAAAAATTTTTTAAAATAAATAAAAAATTCCTTTAGCCTGGCCAGTGTGGCTCAATGGCTGAGTGTCAACCCATGTACCAAGAGGTTACCGGTTCAATTCCTAGTCAGGGCACATGCCAATGTTTCAGGCTTGATCCCCAGCAGGGGGTGTGCAGGAGGCAGCTGAGAGAGGTTCTCTGAGGTTGATGTCTCTCCCCCTCTCCCTTCCTCTCCCTCTAAAAATAAATTTAATAAATAAATAAATCCCTATAGTGTAGTTTTGTTGTTAATCCTCACCTGAGGATATTTTTCCATCAATTTCTAGATAGAGTGAAAGGGTGGGAGGGGGGAGGAGGAAGAGAGAGAGAGAAACATTGATATGAGAGAGATAAATCAATTGGCTGCCTCCTGCACAACCCCAACCAGGGTGGGGGATCAAACCTGCAACCCAGAAATGTCCCCTTTACTAGGAATTGAACCCATGACCCTTCGGTTCCACAGGCTGATGCTCCAACCGCTGAGCCAAACCGTCCAGGGCCCTTTAGTGTAATTTTAATGGGGGTTTTGGTATCAGGTACCTGAGCAGAAATAAATGCATGTATAAAGTCTGCAATCTTTTTTTTTAATCCTCACCTGAGGATATTTTTCCATTTATCTTCAGATGGGGCAGGGGAGAAGGAGAGACGAAGGGGAGGGGAGGGGAGGGGAGGGGAGGGGAGGGGAGGGGCGGGGAGGGGAGGGGCGGGGAGGAAGAAAGATCAATGTGAGAAAGACATATCAATTAGTTGCCTCCCACACGAGAGGAGGGGAGAGGAGGGGAGGGGAGAGGAGGGGAGGAGAGGAGGTACCTCAATGGAGGTACATGCCCTTGACCAGAATCAAACCCACAACTCTTTGGTTTTTATTGACTTTTTGGAGAAAGCAGAGAGAGAAAAATCAATGTGAACATGAAACATGGATCAGCTGTCTTCCCCAAGCCCCCTACTAGGGATCGAGCCTATAACCCAGGCATGTACCTTGTCCAAGATTTAAACTGGGACCTCTCAGTCCATGGGACCATGCTGAATCCACTGAGCCACACTGGCCAGGCTAACACTAAATTTTATCTATAAAACATTCCCAGCCCCTGGCCAGTTTGTTTCAGCAGTTGGAGCATCGGCCTGCAGACCAATGAGTCACGGGTTCAATTCTGGTCAAGGGCATGTACCTCAGTTGCAGTTCGTCCCTGGCCGGGGTGGGGTCATGTGGGAGGCAGCCAGTTGATGTGGCTCTATCACATCAATGTTTCTCTCTGTTTCTCTCTCTCTCTCTCCTCCTCTCTCCCACTCTATCTGATGATAACTGGAAAAAGTATCATCAGGTGAGAAATTAAAAACAAAAACAAAAAACAATCCCAGGCATACCTCAGTTTATTGTGCTTTACAGATAATGTGTTGTTTACAAACTGAAGGTAAAGACCCTCCATCAGCAAAAACATTATAAAACAATGAAGGCTCAGAAGATAATTAACATTTTTTAGCAATAAAATATTTTTAAGTGACGTATGTTGTTTTTTTTAGACATAATGCTATTGCACACTTAATAGACTACAATATAATGTAAACATAACTTTTATATATACATTGGGGAACCAAAATATTTGTGTGACTCGCTTTATGCGCTATTCACTTTACTGCAGTGGTCTGGAACTGAACCCGCAGTATGTCCGAGGTATGCCTGTATTTAAACAACAAACCCCAAAACACCAGGGTGGGAAAACAGCATTTCACAAAAGTGTTCCTTGGAAAGTCAAGGGATATTAGTAGAAATTATATGGTAAAAAAAAACAGTTTCTTAGTAAAATATATTTGGGAAACATTAGGTTAAACAAGTTTAAACAGCTTTCTTTACTATATAATCATTACTGAGCATCTAATATAGTCACAAGAATTACAATTTTCCAGGAAAGTAATATAGTTTGTAGTGCTTTCCAAATCCATATAACCACAGACAAACTTTGAAGAAACCGTTCTATCATATTATTTACTACCTTACTGCTTGATATCTTTCCAGTAGGGTTACAAACATTCTCCAGGAGCCCTAGATTTCCTTCTGTATCAGTATAAGCTATTCGGGCACAAGTAGGATGCCAGGCCAGGCCACAGATTGCATAACCTTTCTCATGTTTCACCCTAAAAATTAAAAAGTAAGTTCTTAAAACACTGTCAATAAAAAACATAAACTATACATTTCTTTAGGTAAATTTTAGTTAGAAAAGGTTAAATGGAAATATATATGGTGCCAGATGGGTACTTATATTAGTGGGAGGATCAGTTCGTAAACTGTATAATTGTCTAACCACTATGCTGTAAACCTGAAACTAATATAATAAAATAATACTGAATGTCAACTGTAATTAAAAATAAGATTTAAATAAAGAGGATGGTCAAATAAAGCAATCAATAAATATTTATTGATTTTAAAGAGAAACATCATTTGTTGTTCCATTTATTTTCGCTTTCATTGGTTGATTCTTCTGTGTGTTCTGACTGAAGAGTGAACCTGCAATCCTGGATACTCTAACCAACTGAGCTACCCGGCCAGGGCCAAAACAATCAATAAAATCAGAAGTATGACTTCTGACATACCAATAGATGTTTGTTTGCATTTTGACAATAATAATTACAAATTTGAAATTTTCATAAGACAAAAGTCTAATTGAAATAAGTAAGAAAGAGACAAAAAATATATTGAATCATACCTTTCCATGCATTCTTTGGTTTCCACATTCCAAACTATAATTAAACCATTAATACTCCCGGCAGCTAAATACTGTCCACAAGGAGACCAGGTTACTATATTGAGGGTCTATAAAGAAAAACAATAAATAATAATTTTGTATCATTGAAACTAAACACTCACCTAACCAAATTCAAATTTTATAACCTTTGTTCGATGTATTCCATGTAACTTCTAATTAAATCTGACATACAAATGGCGAGACAAAGTTTGCTTACTTCTTTTTTAATAATTTTCAACTATTACAAGAAACTATTAATTTATCATGAGAATATTATACTGGCACAATTTTAAAAGCAAAATCTAAAAAATATTATCCTGGGAAGAGACATAACACAAGGTATCCTGTTAGTAGTCACTATCAAGATAATTAGTACGGGAAGTGAACCTTAGTAAGCTATTGCTCATCTACTGGGGCCTCTGTTTTCCTTAACTGCAAAATGGGTATGTGTGAGAGAGAAAGAGAGAGAGAGAGAGAATATAGACCAACAACTTTTCCTGGTCTAAAATTCCAGAGTCTATCATCACAAGTCTTAGTAAAACTCATTTAAAAATAAAGGTCAATTACTGATAACATGAGAATAACTTGTTATAGTACTATACTAAAGTTAAATTTGACTTCTTATAAATTAAAAGATTTTCTTACCAAATTTCACAAAGAAGAAAGGTCACATGGGACCTAACAAAGTCCTATCTTTGTTAGGTTGAAAATAGGTTGAGAGGCAGAAGGTGAATACATGCACAACAGCCTGGAGTTCTCCATTTCTAACAATATTTAACTGTAACTGTATTTAGGCAAAGTATGCATTAAATATTCCCTTTAGCCTATTTAAAGTGTCACTTACAAACTTACCTGAGAGATAAAATTATCTGAAAGATCAAATTGATTACTCCAAGTTTCTCTTCTATAGAGCTTAACAGATTTTTCCACAGGAACTGCGAGTAACTATTAGAAAAAATAAACAGTTTAAACAAAAGTTTACATTAAATTACAATGGAAGAGAAAAAAGGCAGAATATTCATCCAAATATGCTTACAAAACATAAGAAAAAATATATATTTTAACTGGCAACTAACAACACTCAGAAAATTACTTAAAATTTTGATAAGCAAAGAACGGGTAATGGTCATTCCTATTACTTGCACTGAAAAACAGAATATTTGTAGTTAATAGTATTTTTAATACTACTTCTTAAAGTATGTAAGCCCGTTGAATCTGAAAATTCATCTCATTTGCTAGAAGAAATAGAGCCAGAATACTTTGAAAATCTTAAAAAACAAATATTTATCCTCCTATGTATTCTTCCAAAGAAATAGACTAGTAGAAAAAATAAAAAATGATATATTCTTTCCATATCTTTTTTTCTTTATTGATTTTAGAGAGAGGAAGGGGAAAGGAGAGAGAAAAACATCGATGAGAAAGAACATTGATTGGCCGCCTCCTGCATGTCCCCGACTGGGGACTGGGCCCATAACCTGGGCATGTGCCCTGACCAGGAATCAAACCAGTGACCTCTTGGTGCATGGGTCAACACTCAACCAATGAACCACACCGGCTGGGCATATTAATTTTTTTAAGTATTATTTACAAACAGGAAAACTGTTACTTTTATTAATTTTTTTTTAACCCTCACCTGAGGATATATATATATTTTTTTATCTTTAGATAGAGTCGGAGGGAGGGGAGGAGGAAAAGAGGAAGAGAGGGTGAGAGAGAGAAACATTGATGTGAGAGGCACATCGACTGGTTGCCTCCCACACGACCCCGACCAGGGTGGGGGACAAACCACAACCAAGGTACATGCCCTTGACCGGAATAGAACCTGCGACTCATTGGTCCACAAGCCAATGCTCTACTGCTGAGCCAAACTCGCCAGGGCTAACACTTTAGTTTTCCACATGGACTTCAGAATCATCAGCATTATCTGATTTCCCCAAACATCTTAATTATATTTTATATTTGAATGTTGTACAAACTACAGAATAATTTAGGGAAGAACTAAATCTTTATATCAAATCTTTATTTCCTTCCTAAGAATGAGATACATTTTTCTACTAAACAAGTCTTCTTTAACTCCTCTTGCTAGCATCTTAAAGTTCTCTTTATATAGATCTTTCATATTTCTGTTTCTTACAAAGTTATCCCTAGTTATTTTATCATTTTTGATACAAAATTTTTTTAAATAACAATGTTTTATTTTCTCCCACTGTATTTTCTAAATGGCTGTTGTCTGTATATAGGATTTTTATTGGTTTTGAATATTAATTTTGCTTATAGATACCTTACTCAATTTTCCCCCAGTTCATTTTCTTAGAAGTTCCTTATATACAAGCATTTCATTGGAAGATAAGCATTCTCCTTCCTCCATCCCAACCTCTCATATCTTTCTAGTGTCTAAATGTATCTGCTAATACACCTCCAAAATGTCAAATACTGGTGGTGAGAGTGGACGTAACAAGACTGTTTCCAGAGTTGTTCCACTAAACATGAATGTAAAGAATATAAAATTAATGCCCTGGCCAGTTTGGCTCAGCGGTTAGAGCGTCAGCCTGCGGTCTGGAGAGACCCGGGTTCGGCTCCCGCTAAGGGCACGTACTTCGGTTGCAGTTTGTCCCCGGCCCTGGTTGGTCGTGCGGGTGGCAGCCACTCGGTGTGTCCCTTCACGTCGATGTTTCTCTCTCTCTCTCCCTCTCCCTTCCTCTCTCTCCCTCCTACTCTATCTGTACAAAAAATGGAAAAATATCCTTGGGTGAGGATAAAAAAAAAAAGAATATAAAATTAAGCCTGGCCAGTGTAGCTCAGAGGTTGAGCGTCAACCCATGCACCAAGAGAGCACTGGTTCAATTCCCAGTCTGGGCACATGCCCACATTGTGGACCAAATCCCCATTGGGGGCGTGCAGGAAGCAGTCAATCGATGTTCTCTCTCATTGATGTTTCTATCTCTCTCTCCCTCTCCCTTCCTCTCTTTCTAAAATCAATAAAGAAAAAAAAATTTTTTAAAAACATTCATTCGTTCATGTATCAAGCTGAAATATTTCTTAAAGTATTTCAATATTAATTAGTTGGCCTGGGCCTCAAAAATTTATAATCCAAATAAAATAGTTATGATTTTAAAACGATTCTCACATTCAAACATAAGAACTGAAACAAATACTTTTTTTAAAGGTTGAAAAATAAGAGTTACTTACCTTCCCACTTTTTGGCTGCCAAGCAAGTCTGCAGATTGATTTTGCATTTATCACATCATTGACCTTTTGTAGCAGTGACCAACTAATAGCACACGTCTGATGAAAACAAAAAAGTTACTCTCATTTATAAAACTTCTCCCGAAAAGATATGCAGAACTGAATATATTTAATAGGTGAGTTCTTCAAACTGGTATATAGTTCAGAAAAAAGACAACTTAATTCACTTTAATTATGATAATGTTTGATTTATCTAAATTACTTTAAGTCCTTCAGAGATACGTATAAAGAGCACAAGTTTTAAGTAATTAAATTAAAAGAAACAATTCCTATATTGAATAAGTAAACACTATACTCATTGAATAAACATACATACATACACACAGAGAATAATCCCATTATATTAAAATCTTAAAGTGTCTACAAAAATAAACTTTAGAGATCTACTATAAAATGTTATGGTGTCAGAGTCAACCCTTCCAAATAGTTCAAGAATGAGGGGAAGAAAGTGAGGCCATTGAGGCATAGCTACAGGAGATCTTTTTCTAACCAGCCAAACATCTCTACAAATGCCAAGGCCTCTCTGATTGCCTGAGGAAGAATAAATTGTTTCCTCTGCCAATCTGGAGAGCACTTTCTCCATACCTCCTTTAAAACTTTTATCAAGAACAAACAAACAAGCAAATCATAAGAAAACAAAAAGAGCCTGGCCAGAGTGGCTCAGTGGTTGAGCACTGACCCATGTATCAAGAGGTCACTGGTTCGAAATCCGGTCAGGGCACATGCCCAGGTTGTGGACCCGATCCCCAGTGGGGGACATGCAGGAGGCGGCCAATGAATGTTCTCTCTCATCAATGTTTCCATCTCTCTCTCCATCTCCCTTCCTCTATCTCTAAGATCAATAAAGAAAAAAAATTTTTTTTAAAAGAATAGTTGTTATATGACTCTCCAAATCAAGTGTGGCCTATGCTTTATTTTATTTTTGTATCCCTAACATCTAGGGACCAACAGATGGCAGTTACTTTGTAAAAGATAATGATGGAATTTTTCACGTTGATTTATAAAACCTAAAACAGAATATAAATCTATCTTTCCCTGTGATTAAGTACAAAAACAATTAGTCTTTAACATACTTAATTTTGCACTAATTATGGAATTTGATCATAAAAAGTTTCTAATGCTACTCAAAAGAAACAAACTATAAAGAAAAATAATTATTAATTTGACCAAATAATACAATATATAACACTCAATATGTTACAGAAATGGGAAAAAAGTTTTAAATTCAAGTTGATGAGTTTACCTGATCTGAAATCTGCCACACTCTCACAGATCCGTCACAACTAGCTGATGCCTGCAGGAATAAAACAATTTAGTTCTCTATAGTTACAACCATAATACTATACAGTACTATATGGTAACTGGTTCAATTAATAAATAACTCCCCAAATGCCTTTTATCTATTGTGGGAAAGTTCCTGTTAACTATCTTACAATTTTCAACACAATCAAGAAAAATGCAAAAAGAGAGGGAGGAAAATTATTACCAGAAAGATGTCCTTTGGATCAAAGGAAAGACTCAAAACAGGGGCTTCATGTCCTCGAAATGTTTTCTGTTGGCTGCAATCCATAACATCTACAACTTTAACTAGAAAGTCACTATAAACAAGAGGAGAAATGTACATGAACAAAAGCCAATACAAAAGATTCTCCTAAAAGCATGACTCAAATATTTCAAAACCACAAGAATGCCATAATTTCTTTAAAGCAACTTGTGAAACCTGACAGCCAAATTTAACAACTGACCTTTTAGTTTTGGTCTGAAAAGATACTAGAAATACAAGTCAAGATTTCCCATTATGTTAAAATACAAGTACCTAAGTGGCTTCTATAATTAAAATTTAAGCTTCTATTATTTGCTAATATAATTACAGTCACAACCATTTTTTTTTTTTTTTTTTATCCTCACCTGAGGACATTTTTCTATTTTTTGTTCAGGTAGAGTGGGAGGGGGAGAGAGGAAGAGAGAGAGAAACATCGATGTGAAAGGGACACATCGAGTGGCTGCCACCCGCACGACCAACCAGGGCCGGGGACAAACTGCAACCGAGGTACATGCCCTTAGCGGGAACCGAACCCGGGTCTCTCGGGACCGCAGGCCGACGCTCTAACCGCTGAGCCAAACCAGCCATGGCAGTCACAACCATTTTTAAAAGGACTATACCTTTCATTCTACCTCAGCATCTCATCAATTACATATTTTTCCTATAACAAATAAATATCAAGGTAAACCAGAAAAATTCTGACTACACAGGCCTGGTTCTACCTGAAATAATTTTTTAAATTTTGTATCAAACTGTCATCTTTCTACAATATTTTTTATCATTTACTAAATAGACTGTCTGCAAAGCAACATTCATATCTCAAATCACAAAAAGCATAAGACTGTCCTCAAAAATTTTTACTAGTTTAAAAGACTTTAATATAGTCCTGGCCAGTTTGGCTCAGAGGGTAGAGCATCAGCCCACAGACCAGAGAGACCCAGGTTCGGTTCCCGCTAATGGCACGTACCTCGGTTGCAGTTTGTCCCCAGCCTCGGTTGGGGTTGTGTGGGTGGCAACCAGTCAATGTGTCTCTCTCACATTGATGTTTCTCTCTCTCTCTCCCTCCCTCTTTCCCTCCCATTCTATCTAAAGATAAATGCAAAAATGTCCTTGGGTGAGGATTAAAAGAAAAAAAAAAAGACTTTAATATAAAAATTAAGTAAACAAACAAAAAGACTCCTGAAAATGTTACTCTGAAAGCTATAAATGAGGCCATTCTGTTCTAACATTATTTCTTATTCTGATATCAAAGAGCCTTACCCAGATCCAGCAGCGATTTTTGTACCATCTCTATTAAAGACCACATGGTTTGCATTTGTGGTGAAGCGAGTCAATATACCATCTGGAACTCCTTCAGGAAATGTATGGACTTGAATAGTATTGTTAGATACTGCAGTGACCAATTTTCCACACTAAAAGAAAAATAAAGGTAGGAAATATCAGCAAGACAAATCTAAATTGACTGAGAGTCTCTTCACAGTTAAAAATCCTTAAAAAAAAAACACTTATAAATGTAAGTTTTCTCATCTCGAGAAAAAAATGATCAATGTACAACTTTCCTGAAATGTATTATTAGCAAGAAAAATTTATTTGCTACCTTTAAAAAACTTAATTCCCCCTTCACCAGCCAAACATTTAGCCTCTGATTTTTCTTTTACACCTGGTTAAGAAAAATATTTAATTAGTATTTTTATGGATTTCCAAGTGTCATAAAAATAAAGACAGCCCTGGCCAGTTTGACTCAGCGGTTAGAGCGTCGGCCTGCGGTCCAGAGAGACCCGGGTTCGGTTCCCGCTAAGGGCATGTACCTCGGTTGCAGTTTGTCCCCGGCCCTGGTTGGTCGTGCGGGTGGCAGCCACTCGATGTATCCCTTCACGTCGATGTTTCTCTCTCTCTCTCTCTCCCTTCCTCTCTCTCCCTCCCACTCTATCTGTACAAAAAATGGAAAAAAATATCCTCGAGTGAGGATAAAAAAAATAAAATAAAATAAAGACAAAGGAGAGCTTTTCAGAGAAAACACGGCTAGTCTCAGTGAGGGACTAGCACATTAAAAGACATGGCCACAATGGCCACACTACAGTTTCCATAACAAAATCATTACATCACATGTTTTTCTGGAATAGATAAAATCTAAATGCAGAATCCACAGCACCTTCTTATAAACATTAAATAAACAGAAAGTTTTGGGCTCTGAAAATGATCAGCATATACCATTGCTTTGCTTTTCTTTCTTTTCGTTAATCCTCACTTGGGATATTTTTCCACTGATTTTTAGATAGAGAGGAAGGGAAGGAGGGAGGGAGGGAGAGAAACATCGATGTGAGAGACACACATTGATCGGTTGCCTCCCTCACAACCCTGATATATGCATGTCTACAGGAATTTTGCAACTTGGCTGTGCTTTTCTTGCAGACAGATTTCTTAGTAGAATACTAAGAATCCTTAGTGCTAATAAAAAATTTTGGTAATTCTTTAGTAACATGTTAACTAGCTCTCTATTAATATTAAAGTATATAACTAACTACTCATTCACCTGAAAGACCTGAATAGAGAACTGAAGTCATTTTCCAACAAAACTACTGGGAAACCAAATCATTATCAGTACTTTATCAACTGGTAATAGTTTTAAAAAGAAAAATTATTCAAAGGATCAGGGATCTGGTTAGGATCTGGTCAGACCACTCTTCTCCCTGGTGAGTTGGGAGGAACGGAACACAGCACAGGGTGACCTGAGCTTTAGCTCGTGTTCCTTACTATGTCATTTGATCTTCCTCTGAGTTTTGGTTTCCCCCAGAATAAAATGGAGATAATTTCACATACCTCTCCATATCTTTGTTAAAAGGCCCTGATACTATAAAATATTATGCAAGCGTTAAGTTATTACTACCCACAAACGTTGATTCATCCAGTTTCACTAGTTTGGAGGGTGAGATTTTTCTCCACTTTGTTCTCAAATAAAGCATCTAACTATACTTTCCTATATGACTGAATCCAAAAACAAAAGGTATGTGTTTATTAGCAATTATATTTTAAATGAAATACACTGTAAAATTGCCAACTATGCATGGCTATTTGGTAATGTCACTTCAATGAAGTCCCATAAACTCCATTCCTAAACCCAAAGAAAATACTTTAGCACTGACTATGGTACTTATAGTGGGGCTGAACAATGGCCCCCAAAGGGCATGTCTAAGTCCTTAGCCCAGGTACCTATGAATGACCTTATTTGGAAATAGGATCTTTACAGATGTAATAAGTTGAAGATTGGCATCCTTTTAAGAAAAAAGAGAGAGAGATTTGAGACACAAAGACATGGCAAAGAAGGCAATGTGTACATTCTGATATGTAATACCAGTTTATTCTAAAAAAATGTTCAGTAACTGTGTATAATACTGTGAAATACAGAAAACATATATTGATCTCTGCCCCCCCCTTCTGGAATGGAGCTCCTAAAACCCTTGAAATTGTCTATTTTTTTAAAATATATTTTTATTGATTTCTCTTAGGGAGAGAGATAGAAACATCAATGTGAGAGAGAAACATCGATCAGCTGCCTCCTGCATGCCTCCTACTAGGGATCGAGCCCACAATCCGGGCATGTACCCTGACCAGGAATGGACCCAGGATCTTTTAGTCCATGGGACAACGCTCTCTCCACTGAGCCACACCAGCCAGAAAACCCTTGTAATTTTCTTTTCTTTTTTTTTTTTTTATCCTCACCTGAGGATATTTTTCCATTTTTTTGTACAGATAGAGTGGGAGGGAGAGAGAGGAAGGAGAGAGAGAGAGAGAGAAACATCGACGTGAAGGGACACATCGAGTGGCTGCCACCCGCACGACCAACCAGGGCCGGGGACAAACTGCAACCGAAGTACGTGCCCTTAGCAGGAACCGAACCCGGGTCTCTCTGGACCGCAGGCCGACGCTCTAACCGCTGAACCAAACTGGCCAGGGCAAATTTTCTTAGTGGTAAGAACACTAGTAACATCTTTTGTTCTAGTATTTGGTCTTTTTGACCCTAGTTTCTAACAGAGTTCCTAAATTCCTTGGTATTTCCTGGGTAAGAGGAGTGTCTTTTGTTTTAATGAGGGACTCTTCCTGGGCTCCTGGACAGCTTCAAGATAGTGGGCTGGTCACCAGAAAGAGAAAGCCATGGTTGGAAGCTTGGAACATTCAGCCCCACCTGCCACCCTCAGGGAAGGAGAAAGGAGCTAGAAATGGAGTTAATAATCAATTGTGCCCTTGGGATTGATAAAGCCTCCATAAAAATCCCAATAGTACAAGGTTTGAGGACCTTCCAGGTTAGTGAACACATCCATGTACTGGGAGGCTGGTGCACCCCAAGTCTATGGGGACAAAAGCTCCTGCATATGGGACCCTCCCAGACATTGCCCTATATACCTCTTTATCTGGCTGTTCATCTGTATCCTTTATCATATCCCTTATTATATCATAAACTGATAAACGTGTTTCCCTGAGTTCTGTGAGCTGCTGTAGCAAATGACAGAATCCAGGAGGTGGACAGTCATGGGAGCCTGCAATTTATAGCCAAGTTGAACAGAAGTTGTGGGTAACCTGGGGACCTACTGCTTGTGATTGCTATCTAAAGTGGGGGACAGTTTCGTGTGACTGAGCCCTTAACCTGTGGGGTCTGCACTAACTTAGGTTAGTGTCAGATTTAAATTGAATTATAGGACACCCTGCTGGTGTTTCAGAGAATTGCCTGCTGTGCGAAAAAATCAGCACATTTGGTGTCAGAAGCGTTGTGAGTACAGTAACAGTGTGAGAGTTAAAAAAAAAACCCACACATATAAGAGTGTTTTTCCTTTACAAATACTTCTCCAAGTCCTCGCTATTACTGGGATAACAGTATTTTTCATCCTTGCCAATCTTATAGGGAAAAAAATCCAACTGTTTAATTTGTACTTCTTTGCTTGTGAAATTTAGCTTGAATGTAATGTATGTTGGTCATTTATACTTCTGGTTATTTTTTTTCTTCTGTGAATGTATTTTCCATTATATATGACCATTTAAAAAAGAATATCTAAAATACCTAAAGACCATCTCATCTACCTAAATTAGCCTGAATTTTTTTTTTTCAATCCTCACCTGAGGATATTTTTCCATTTATTTTCAGACAGGGAGGGAGGGAGAGGAAGAGGGGCAAGGGGAGAAACATCGATGCGAGAGACACACTGACTGGCTGCAACCTGCACGATCCTGACCAGGGCTGGGGACCAAACCGCAACCGAGGTATGTGTTCTTGACCAGAATCGAACCCACGACTCTTTGGTCCACAGGCTGACATTCCAACCACTGAGCAAAATCTGCCAGGGCTAGCCTGAATTTTTAAAAATATGAATTCTATGAAAAGCTTTTTTTCTACCCAAATATAATACACCCAACTTAAAAATCTTCACAAATAAAAAATTTAGTGGGTTTTAGATTCTTGGTTTGCAAAATCCTTTTGAAAACATGTCCTCATTCTCCAAATAACCTACAATTAAAAACATGAAAATGCTACTGAGTTGTGCCACGTGGGATAGGGGGGGCATTTAAATATCTTTCTTTAAAAAAGATGTATTTTCTTGTATATACTTTAATTGGTTCACCATTACTATCCATTAATCATCTTTAATAAATCATTGAGATTTTACCTATAAAAATTTTGGGCAAGTTATGATATTATTATATATTTTTAAATATTACTTAGTAAGAGAAATCAACAGAAAGGTATATCTATATTCAAATCTCAAAAAATAATTTTTATCCAAGCATAAAACGATCACATGGCAGTACAATTTCACATCGGTTGCTGCAATTGTTTTTTATACCTTCAAAGCACATGAATATGCCTTTTCTCCAACATTAATGGACTTAGGATCATCATCATCCAAGTCTTCCCAAATCCTCACATCACCATCACTTCCACAAGTCACCATACAACTGTGAAGGAAACACACTCATTAAAACGTCACTCTGTTTCCAGGCCTATTTTTTTGGAATGCTATTCAAGTTTTTTAAAATAAAATCAAGGTCTTAGATGTTTTCTCATTTTATAGTTATAAGCCTCAGCTAACCTCCTATGCTGTCATAAGTTTTTTTTTTAATGTTTTTATTGATTTTTTTTAGAGAGAGAGGGAGAGAGAGAAACATCGGTGTGAGAGAGAAACATTAATCAGCTGCCTCCTGCACATCCCCCATCGGAGATTGAGCCCACAACTGGGGCATGTGCCCTGACTGGGAGTCAAACCGGGACTTCTTAGTCCATAGTACGACACTCAATCCACTGAGCCACACCAGCTTGGCCATAAGTCTTTATTTGTAATAACGTAAAAAAGATGAATGTGTAATCTCTGTAACAGCAGGGACCAGGTCTCCCTTGCTCACCATTGTGTCTCTAGCACAAAGCAGTCTCTGTCATATAGACACTTTGATGTTTGTTGAATGAATAAATAAATGGATATAAGAGCTCAATTATCCAAGGCTGATTATGCAAATGGTACCTACAGCTCTCAAATCTTATTCTCACATTATCTTTCAAGTGCTTTTATTCATCCATTATGTGTCCTATACAGAAATATAAAAATAACATGAAAAATGGCAAAGAGGAGCCATAAAAAGAACTGTGGATGTTCAGAAGAAGATTAATTCCCACTTAGAAAATTAGAAGGGTGGTATTTACACTGGGAAGTCAAAGGATAAGTAGAATATGCTGACACTGGTGAAAAGGCAGTTTATAACAGACAAAACACATGAACCAAATTATGAAGTAATTAAAGCTTAGGGGAGTTTAACTAGAGCAGACAGTCCAGGAAATTGAGGAAAAAAATGTAGATTGGGATAATTCTAGTTAGGATAACCTTAATGCCAGAGTGAGGAGCTTGACTCCTCTCCATAGGAAATACACAGGAGGACCACAAGTATCAGTTTGCCCAGGACATTCCTGTTTTATACATCCAGCCGGTTTAGCATTTATCCTCAATGAGTATTAGTTGCATCAAAATTGGTTGAGGTGGGTTTGACAGACCTCTTATTTGCACTTCCAGCTTCTGTCAAACATGAGTCCTTAGGGAAAGTGATTTCTTTCAGTATGCAGTGGGGATGGGAGAAGTATTTCACGTTGCCATCCCTATCAAATATTTGGTCTCTGAACCATAGGAGATATAAAAAGTTGTAGATGCCAGTTGGTGGGACCAGTGGGAAATAATAGTGAAATAGAGTGGAATTAATGAAAAATATATACAAGAAATAGTTAAGTAGTCCTTTGAAGAGCTTTTAGTATAGTCTGAACATTCTTTCTATAGTGAAACTTTTGTCATTTATTATAGAAATAAAACTACTTATTAATTTTTTTTTCTAATCCTTACCCGAGGATATTTTTATATTTATCTTCAGACAGAGTAGGAGAGGGGGAGAGAGAGAAAGAGAAACATCAATGCGAGAGAGACACATCAACTGGTTGCCACCTGCACAACCCCAACTGGGGCTGGGGACTAACTGCAACCAAGGTATGTGCCCTTGGCCGGAATCAAATCCGGGACCTCCTTGGTCCGCAGGTCAAAGCTCTAACCACTGTGCCAAATCGGCCAGGGCTACTTATTAATTTTATTATTGGCTATGCTTTTTTTTATCCTCACCTGAGGACACTTTTTTTTTTTTTTTCTGCATTTATCTTCAGATAGAGCAGGAGAGACAGAGGGAAGAAGAAAGAGAAACATCGATGTGAGAGAGACACGTAGACCGGCCACCACCCACACAACCCCAACTGGGGCTGAGGACAAACTGCAACCAAGGTATGTGTGCTTAGTGGGAACCAAACCTAGGTCTCTCTGGTCCACGGGCCGATGCTCTAACCACTGAGCAAAAGCAGCCAGGGCTATTGGCTATGCTTTTGAAATTTTGCAAAAACAAAAAACTTTCAGTAGCAATGAAATGAAGAAAAATACATCAAGTACACGTTTAATAAAAAATTAAATACTAGCCCTGGCCGGTTTGGCTCAGCGGTTACAGCGTCTGCCTGTGGTCCAGAGAGTCCTAGGTTCGGTTCCTGCTAAGGGCATGTACCTCGTTTGCAGTTTGTCCCCGGCCCTGCTTGGGTCGTGTGGGTGGCAGCCACTCGATGTGTCCCTTTCACATCGATGTTTCTCTTTCCCTCCCACTCTATCTGAACAAAAAATGGAAAAATGTTCTCGAGTGAAGATAAAAAAAAAAAAATTAAATACTAAATATCTGCTTCTCAAGCACTTAATAATAAAAGTGTAACTTAAACAAAATCTTAGTTGACATTTACCAAGGGGGCTATATTGACACCACCAACCACAGGCAAGTCAGAAGATAAACAACTCCTGAAGAAACATCAGCATCTACTGCATAAGTCCATAGTTATCTTGAGACTGCCTGAAAACCATGCTTCTGCAGCTGCCCAGTGAATTTGCATATTGTCAATCATGACTTTGCTGACCAATAGAACTTTCTGATGATGGAAATGGTTTATATCTGGCTACTGAACAATTGAAATGTGGCTAGTGGGACTGAGGAAATGAATTTTTTATTTAGCTAATTTAAATAAAAATAGCTACAAGTGGCTAATAACTACGCATTGGACAGTGGAGCATTAAAACAAATGACAGTTATTCTAAATTAATTTTGTCATTTTTCATTCTAAGTTCTCTAATGAAGTATGAAAAGTGAAATGATAGCTTGTTAATGTGTTGTTTCCATCAGTAACAGAGCTTTTCAAACAGTTAAATGATACTGGTTTTATATTTATGTCATCAGAATTTTGAAACAGAAAGTGAGTCAGATTAATCCTAATAATAGTTTAGTTTCCCTTCAGTTCACAGAAACAAACTACAGCTTCTGTAAATTCATTCTGTTGAAAGTGAAACACCTGACATTATTGGAAATTCTATCTAACTTCATTTGAAAAGTTCAATGCTAAAGATAAAATTCTCAGTGTTTACAGTAACAATATACATTCTCATAGAGCACAACACCATTGTAAAAACAATGTTCTTCCTAATCTATAAAACACAAATGTACTTGAAACTGGAATTATCATTCACAATTATGCCCAAATAAGCTGTGATAATATACCAATCAAAACAGAAACCATACTTGTCAAATTTTTAGATTTTATTTATACCCAGAATAAATAAAAATTTTTTAACAAATTGATATTAAATATACAAAAATACTTCAACATTGCATTTGCTTTCTCTGCCACCTATCATCAATTATAGCGTTAAGCCCTGGCTAATGTGGCTCAGTTGACTGAGCATCATCCTGTGCACAGAAAGGTCGCCAGTTCAATTCCCAGTCGAGGCACATACCCAGGTTTCAGGTTTGATTCCCCAGTCAGGGTGCTTTCAGGAAGCAACTGATCACTCTCTCTTTCTCTATCTCTTTCCCCCCTCTAAAAAAAAAAAAAAAAAAATCAATAAACATATCCTCAGTGAGGATTAAAAGAAACAAAATAATTTTTTTAAATTATATCTTTACTATATTTAAGCCTTTGAAGTGACTTTATAAAAACCTGTCACATATGGTATTATTATTATTATTATTATCATCATTATTGGAAATAGTCCTTTAAATCATTGTTGCATTTTGTTTCTATCTCTCTCTCTCTCCCCCTTCCTATCTCTCTCTAATATCAATTTTTTTAAAAAAAGAAAAAACAAAAAACAAAATCCGAAATCTTTAATCAAAGCATTCAACTTAAGCCTATAGTGCAATGCAATTAATGAAAACAAAACTATGTACAGGAAGACACTGAAATTTATCCCTACAAAAGCAAATAAGAATTGAACAAATTAAAAGCTGAAACACTGAATGACTTACTTTTGAAATTCTGTAATTGCACTTTGGAATATGTTGACTTGTGGGAAGAATCTTTTGATGGAACACCTCCTCTTTTTAATAGTACAAATTTATGTTCTATGCCAGAATAAAATGAAATTAAGTAGGCTTAAAATTTGTGAAACAGTCAAAGGAATCATAAATAGAGACAACTTACTTGATGAATTTTGTCTTAAAAATACTCAAAATCTTATTATTGAAAAAGGCTACTTTGAACGCAAGTAAAAAGCCAGAACCTAAAAAAATACTGAAGTTGAAATATTTATACATTTCGATTTTTTAAAAATTTGTTTTTAATTGAGACTCTTGCCCTAGCCAGTGTGGCTCAGTTGGCAGGGTGCTGTCCCTTACACTGAAAGGTTGCCGTTTCGATGCCCAGCAGGGCACATGCCGGGTTTCAGGCTTGATCCCTGGTAGAGGATGTGCAGGAGGCAGCTGATCAATGTTTCACTGTCACATCAATGTTTCTCTCTCTCTTGCTCACTCCTTCTCCCTTCTTCTCTCTCTAAAAATCAGTTTTAAAAAATTGAGACTCTTCCATTTAGTAGAATTGTTCTGAACTTACTAGGTATGTGAGAACCTAAACAGAGTATTTCTTTTTTGAAAAATACTGTGATATAAAGAAAAGAATTAAGTGAAGGTCTCACTTCAAATTTATTAACCATAAAATGCAATTCTGAAGATAACTGCAGCCAATTTTTTAAGAACAATAAAAATAAGATCATATTGAAAAAAAAATATGTTTTTCAAAAAAATATCAGCAATACCATGTTGGAGCAGGCTAAAACACTGATTAAAAGACATGAATATATACAAAGAATGATTATGTTAGCGTTTAGATTATACATTTAGATTATCAATGTAAAAATATTTTTTTTTAATGTTTAATGTCACAAATGTTTTTTAGAAAAAAATTTTTGAAGTAGTTTTTAAACAAATGTTATAGACCTACCAAAAATAGTTTTTGAAGAAAAATGTTACAGAACAAATCAGAATAATTTGCCAATCAATAAATAATTCAAAATAATATCACTTTAATAGTAATTCTCTTAAAATCCTTCTCCCCATTCTCAAAGGTGTTCTAGTTTAGATGATAAACTATGTTTCTGAGCATCAGAACTAATTTTATTAATACCTTTATCTTTAGTACATAACTACAAAAAGCCAATGATTACAAAGGCATTTCTCACCATCTGGATTCTTTATCCTCAGTAAGCAATGTTCTTCCCCTATCAGACCATCCCTCCCTAACCCTTCCACTGGGCCTCATGAGATTCATGGTTAAGGCACCAGCAAAATTTCTATTATCATCAGTTCTTTTTCTGAACATTCCTCTAAGGATACTGCTTCCTCTTAAGCCCTCTTAAGTGGTGGCTGATTTCTTTTCTATATCTCTCTGGGGCCTAGAGGCGGGCCTTCCTTATATTTCATTCTTTACCACTTGCATTCTATTGCCACAACTTTTCTTTATTTTTATTTTTTTTATCCTCACCCGAGGACATTTTTCCATTTTTTGTTCAGATAGAGCGGGAGGGAGAGAGAGGAAGAGAGAGAGAGAGAAACATCGATGTGAAAGGACACATCAAGTGGCTACCACCCGCACGACCAACCAGGGCCAGGGACAAACTGCAACCGAGGTACGTGCCCTTAGCGGGAACCGAACCTGGGTCTCTCTGTACCGCAGGCCGACGCTCCAACCGCTGAGTCAAACCAGCCAGGGCGCCACAACTTTTCTTTAAAAATAAAAAATAAAAACCTTAGAACTGCCATCAGACCACCTATAGGTTCTTTTTATCCTCACCCAAAGACATTTTTTCATTTACAGATAGAGCGGGAGGGAGAGAGAGAGAGAAACATCAACATGAGAGACACATCAAGTGGTTGCCACCCACACGACACCGATCTCAACCGGGGCCGGGGACAAACCAAGGTACTTGCCCTTAGTGGGAACCGAAGCTGGGACTCCCTGGTCCACAGGTCAACGCTCTAACCGCTGACCCAAATCAGCCAGGGCAACCTATAGGTTCTTAAAGAGAAATCCCCCTTGTTCCCTAAGAAATTTTTAGCACAAGGCTCATTGTTATTTTCTAATAACACTATTCCCATCATAGTTCTTAAGTATTTTCAATCACCATATGGGTGAAACCTTCTGATAGTGGATCTTGTCCTCTACCCATCTCAGACTCCCATAGTCACAGCCTAGATTTTGTCTTTACCAATGCAGCTGCTCCATAATCTAAACTTCAATCATTCTAATCACTTCTCTTTTCACCTGACACCCTTATTACATTAGGATCTACAATCTATTGAAACTACCTTTTCACTGTCTCTCCTTTCAAGTTCTCACATCCCTCCTAGATGGGCTTAGATTCCACAGTCTGTTACTAAAATCACTCCTCTGCATCACCTTCAAATCCCCTGGACCTCTCTGACTTTGTCATACTTACCAGGCGAAAACCCAACCCTGGTTAAATCCAACTCTCTGCCTATTAATAAATTTGCACTTGAAGACCTAAATATCGCTGAAAAAACAAACACATATTAACCGGGTTTTATGTCTCACTTTAAATTCATGATCATTAACCTGAAGTAGGCCTTCAGGGAATCCAACTATATTCCCTGGTTCATTAATTTTCCATCTCTTCTATTTATCTCATATCTACTCCTCTTTTTTCAAACCTCCACCTCCTCCCCACTTTCAACTAATGACTTTACATCCTATTCACTGAGAAAACAGAAGCAAACTATAGAAATTGTCCACATGTTCTCCCCATCCCTTCTAAACGTTCCTTCCCTCCACATATGAATTTAACTGTGCTCTTCCTACGTTTGGCCAATCTCTCCCTCTTGTGTATGATATACTAGCCCCTCACACCTAATCAGGACATCACCCCAGCAATGCTCCCCCTTTCTCTATAAAATCAACGTATCCCTCTCTATTGGGTCATCTCCACTTCATATATATGCTATAATCTTTCTCACCTTAAAATAAAAATCTTGCCCTGGCCAATTTGGGTCAGCGGTTAGAGTTGTTGGCCCACGGACCAATGAGTCGCAGGTTCGATTCCAGTCAAGGGCACGTACCTCAGTAGCAGTTTGCCCCTGGCCCTAGTCAGGTCATGCGGGAGGGAACCAGTTGATGTGTCTCTCTGTCTCTCTCCTTCCCTCCAACTCTTTCTGAAGATAAATGGAAAAGTGTCCTCTGGTAAGGATTAAAAAAATAATAGTAATAAAAAAGTTAAAATCTTACCTGACCAACTACCCTTATTCTTTGAGTGTCATACTCACTAACTCCAATTCTTCCCTTTCCATTCTCTTGAATCCACGGCAACAAGGTTTTCATTGATTTTAAAGAAAGAGAAGAGGGGGCAGAGACACTGATTTTGTTGTTCCACTTACTTATGCATTCATTAATTGCTTCTTCTATGTGCTCTGACCAGAGATCAAACTCACAACCTTGGCATATAAGGATGATGCTCTACCCAACTGAGCAACCTGTCCAGAGCAAGGTTTTCATTCTTACCAATCCATAAAAAAAGCTCACGATCCTCTATGTCCTCCACATCACTAAAGCAAATGGTGAATTCTCAGTCCTCAATCTAATGCAGCAGCAGTATTTGACATCGTTTAGTCCCTCCTCAAAATTCATACTTCATTTTGACTTCCAGACATCATTCTTACATCTTGGTTTTCTACTTTCCTAGCTACTCCTTGTTAATTTGCTTAACTAGATCCTCTTGTCTAACTTGATCTCCAAATATTTTGAATTGTTCCAGGGCTTAGGCCCTGAATCTTTTTTTTTAACTACATTCACTCCCTCACTAGGTTATTTCTTCTGAGTTCAGAGTGTTAAATATCATCTCTATACTGACAACGTCCACATTTAGATTTCCAACCAAGACTGCAATCCTGAATGCCAGGAGGTATCAGTTAAATATGTAGATTTCTATCTCTAGTTCGCATTTCTTCTGAGCTCTAGATCCATTTATCCAGCTGTCTACTTCTCTAGTTGAATATCTCAAAAGAAATTCTACACTGATTCATATCCAAAAGCAAACTCATAATCTCCACCCCCATTCTACTCTGAAATATGCTCCTCTTTTTAAACATATATGAATGGCACTATCTCTTCTCCAAAAGTTACATCCAGAATCACAGATAGAATATCCTAGACACCTCCCTCTCTGTCATCCTTAATATCTGATCCATCCTGTTGATTTTATCTTTTAAATATTTCCTGAATATGTCCTCTTTTTTTTTCTTTTTTTATCCTCATCCGAAAACATTTTTCCATTTTTTGTACAGACAGAGTGGGAGGGAGAGAGTGGAAGAGAGAGAGAGGGAAACATCGATGTGAAAGGGACACATTGAGTGGCTGCCATCCGCACGACCAACCAGGGCCGGGGACAAACTGCAACCGAGGTACATGCCCTTAGCAGGAACTGAACCCGGGTCTCTCTGGACCGCAGGCGGACGCTCTAACCGCTGAGCAAAACCGGCCAGGGCTGTCCTCTTTTCAATATACATATATGTCTACTCTAGTCTGAGCTTCTGTCGCTTGAACCAGACTAACAGATACCTTCCAATAGTTTCTCTGCATCCACTCCTACTCCTTTTCCTCCATGCATATTCTCAAAAACAAGAGTCTGATCATATTTCCTTTCTGCTTCAAATCTTTAATACCTTCCTACTACTTTTATTGTAAAATAAAGATTCCTTAATAAAGTCCAAAAGGCTTTGGATAGGATGTCCACTGCCTAACTTAATTTATCCCGTGTAAACCTCTGCATCACTAGCTTTCTTTCAGTATGACAGTCCCTACTCCCACTGGGCCTCTCCACATGGTGTTCCCTCTTCCTTGAATGCCAGCACCACCACCCCACTGCTACCACTTATCTCTTTATACTTTTTTGCTGTTGTTGTTAATTCTCACCCAACCATATTTTTTCCACTGATTTTTAGAAAAAGTAGAAGGGAGGGAGAGAGGGGGAGAGAGAAAAATCGATATGAGAGTGACACATCAATCAGCTGCCTCCTGCACATGCCTGGAGCCCTGACCCCCGACCCCCGACCAGGGCCAGGAATAAAGCCTGTAACCCAGATACATGCCCTTGACGGGGAATTGAACCCGAGAACTTTCGGTGCTCCAGACGATACATGCTCTAACCACTGACCCACATCAGCCAGGGCTGATACTTCTTAATGACTATTCAAGTCTTCAGATTTCATCTCAAGAAACACTTCCTCATGGCCGTGGCCAGGTAGCTCAGTTGGTTGGAGCATCATCCTGACACACGAAGGTTGCAGGTTCAATCCCCTGGGCACATATAAGTATCAGTCAATGAATACATAAATAAGTGTAACAACAAATTGATGTTTCTCTCTCTCAAAAATCAATTAAAATAAATAAATAAATAAAAATACTTCCTCAGAGAAGCCTTCCCTGCCTCTTCAAACTAGATCAAATCAACTTCCCCTCATTTAGGCTTATCGCTGCATATGTAATTTAATATTTCTAAGTGTACATTTATTTTATGTGATTAATGTGTAGTCAATGTCAATCTGACAAGACCTTAAAGTCAATGAAGGAAAAGATTGTCCTTTGTTTACACTATTGTATCTCTAGCCCTCAGTGGAATAGATATGCAAATATTTTTTCAATGAAAAATCAACATAGAACTGACCAAGGAAGCCACACAATTGGAAATGGGATTTAGAAAGATAATAGGGACCAGAACAGCACTGGCCAGGTGGCTCAGTGTATGGAAGAGTCCTCTTGTACATCAGAAGGTTGTGGGTTCCTTCAATTCCGGTCAAGGGCATGTTTCTGGGCCCATATGGGAGGCCATATGTGGGAGGCAACTGATTTATGTTTCTCTCTCTCTCTCCTTTCCTCTCTAAAAATCAATGAAAACATATCCTTGGATGAAGATTTTTAAACGTGGGGGGTATGGAAGGGTGAGAGTAACTCTGGGAAAATATCACCAAAGGAATCAAGCAGAGAAAATAAATTAGAAGGGAAAAAAGCAATCTGAAAGTTAACAACAAAAAAGGAAATAGCATCAGGAATGCCAAGGGAGGATAAAATACAAAAAAGATGGAAAGGGGCACCGAATTTGACAAGCAGGCACCAAGCAATCTCACAAAATAACTAGTAATGTGAGATGCGGTGAGGGAGTGAACAAAGGTAAAACACTGAGGAAAGCTCACAGCTTTCCAACTCTCCTGGAAGTAAGATTTTACACTCTTTAACTTTCTTTATATCCTTAAACTACCATGACGGTCCGTACAGAACAATAAATCTAAGGAAAATATATGTGCCATTTTATATTTTAACCTTATTTCTCTATATTCGTACGAATCGTCTTAGACTGACTGCTTACAACATATAAATGTTCTGATATTTACACTTGAAACGGATTTTTGCTTCTCAAAGTACTTTACCTCCCAGAATCATCAAAACAGACATCCGTGTGTCCTTCTGTATGTCCATATCTCATCGGCTTCTGTGTGGCAGGCATCTTTTCCTTCACCTACCTGAAAATGTGTTATAAAACCTAGTATTATTTTAAAGGAGAAAAAGCCAGGGGCAGGGGAAGAAGGGGGGTTAGTCTCCCTAGGGCACGCTCTCGACAACTCCTTTTACCCCACCCGAGTGTCACAAAAGGAAAAAAATGAAGGATCTGTCAGACAATAAGCCGGGAAGAGGATACTCTTCTCTTTGGCATGTGTTGCGAGAAGAACGACTCACCAAGGTGCCTGAGCCTCCACGACTGAAGAATGGAGAGGCAACCGGTTCCCGCGCTCAGGCGCGCTCGCCACACTGCGCCTGCGCCGGCCCGCCCACGCCCAGCGCTAATCCCTACCCAAGGTCGCGGGTTGGTGACGTCAGCTGCTTGCGGGCTGCTAGGGAAAAAGCCGGCTGCTGGGGGAGTGAGAAAGAAAGGGAAGGAGCCGAACACGGAAGTGGTGGTGGCGTCTGGGGAGCTCGTGGAGGCGGTGACCGCGACGTCAGAGACGGGAACCCATCGCCGAGAGGGGGGAGCTTGCAGAAAGGCATTCGCCTTGTAGGACCTACATGCGGTGCAGGAGTGGCTGGGCTTCCCTTCTTCACCTCAGCGAGCACCCAGACTGATGGCGATGGTGATGGCGGCAGTTACTCGGACAGCCCCAGTGAAACTGCGCTCGGAGAGGTGAGTGGGGGAAGGGTGGTTGCTGCCTGGCCTTGTCGATTGGAGTCCGCTCCTACCTTGCAGGCTCTTCTCGCTTGCAGCCATATCCGAGACCCCAAACGGGTCCAGCGCCTTGGCGCCCCGCTGGAGAATGTGATCCTTGGCCGTCTTCTCTAGAGAAGAGGAAGGCGAGACCCTGCTCAAGCCTTTGAATCTTGGCATCCTTCGCACTCTCTCACCTTGTCATTTTTATAGAAATAAAAAAGAGGGAAAACTTAATCTCAGTTTGCGGTCCCTGGAGGTATAGCGAGTACATTAACTCGTGATCTTGGGGACTCTGCATATATATCCCTGAAGAAGAAAGTTGTGTTTCTATGTTCAGACCCCACTTAAAGTTCACTGACGTGCTTATTTGGATCTAAAACAGGAGCTAGAACTGGAGTGTATTGTTGAATACTTCGTTCGATCGTTGGAATCTTGGCTAAGATCTTGCCGTTAAGTCTATACTTTGCTTGTGTCTTCACGTTGTCCATGTTAGTAGACCGGTCTCTGATGAAATCCTTCACACAGATTGTGTGTGTGTGTGGTACTCAACACTTAGCCTGTCATACATTGTTTGTGACATAAGTGAGACGTGTTTCTGTTGTAGAGATCTCCCTGTTGTTTTAAGATCTCGTTCCATTTTGAAAGGTGGCAAACACATAGTTAAGACACACCGCGGTATTGTTCTTAACCGTGGCGGCATTATGTAAAGGGTTGTTTTGAGTACTGGGGCTCCAAATAGGCTTGCTGGACAGCGAGGTTTAGTATATGAATGAAGAGGGAGAGTGATTGGCTGAAAAAGAACTTGGGGTTTGTGGGAGAAGAACCAACCTATTGTTGAATTCCCTCTAGAGCAAAAGATACCTGAGACAATTCATCTGAGTGACTTAATGTTATTTGTAGATAATTCGTTTTTTAGATAGACTGATTTATAAAAATAATTTTACCCAAGTAAATATCATTGGATAGACAGCGGGATTCAAACTGAACTCTGACATTGTTCATCTCTATATGGAATAAATCATGATGAGATTTCGGTGTAGTTATATTCAGAGCTCAGCTTAAGAAGAATTTGCAAATTAGAACAAGAGTTACAGCTATAAAATGCCCTAACTATAATATCTATAATACCATTTGACTTTAAAATTATGAATGCTGTCCACACTCCTGTTCTTTCACTCTGCTTAGCAATCAAGCCATTTGATTCATAGTGTAAACAAAACTCCTTTACAAATTTTACATGTATGAAAAGAGCTTGGGCCTGAGGGTCAAACATCCCTAGGTTTTAATTTTGACTTTGACAGTTACTCGGTGTGATCCTGAATATGCTCCTTTACTTTTTCAGAATGTCAGGTTCCTCATGCCTAAAATGTAGATGATACCTCCATCACATTGGTAAAATATAGGAGATAATAATGGATGTATAAAACTAATTATTATTAATGTCCCATGTTACTAATGGGGTGCTTTGGGTGGGCATTTAGTGATTTCATTTAAAATAGAGTCAGTTTAGCCCTGGCCAGTTTAACCTTGGCCAGTTTGGCTCAGCAGTTAGAGCAACGGCCCTCGGGCCAAAGAGTCGAGAGTTCCATTCTGATCAACGGCATATACCTCGGTTGTGGTTGAGTCCCCGGCCCTGGTCCAGCCTGTGTCCTTTGGGAAGCAACCAATCAATGTTTCGCTCTCTCTCTCTCTCCCCCCTCCCCCTCCCTCCTCTCCCTCCCTCTCTTTCTTGCTCCCAGGCTCCCTCACTCCCTCCCACTCTATCTGAAGATAAATGGAAAAGTATCCTCCAGTGAGGATTAAACAAAAAAAAATTAAAATGGAGTCAGTGTAAATCATTATCCAGTAAAGTTTTTCAAATATTAAAAGAAGTAATCTTGTTTTTGTTAAATATGTTTTTACTGATTTTTTTAGAGAGTGAGGAAGAGAGAAGGAGATAGAAACATCAGTCACCTTCCTTCTGCACACCCCTTATTGGGAATGGAGCCGGAAACCTGGGCATGTGTCCTGACCAGGAGTCAAACCAGTGACCTCTTGGTGCATGGGACCAGTATCAATCCACAGACCCATACAGGCTGAACTGTAATCTTGTTTTTGCTAGTATACTTGTACAATTCCATTTCAGTTTCAGTCAAATGCCTGCAAATTTTAATGTCTTCACTGAGTCCATGGTCTTCTTGAGGAAAAAACACATTCAGATAATATGTACAAGATGATAGTGCAGTAATGAAATGTGTGTAACTTAAATGTTAGCAAAATTTCTGGTTATTTAAGATCACATAGCTTTTTGAAAGAAACCAATGTAGTTGTCTCCAAATGGATTTATTTCCAAATGGATTTATTTATCATTAACAATGCATATCTCACAAAAGTGGGTAGCTGAATGAACTCACTGAAAATGATGCCAAGGTCACAGATTCAATTGCAGTGAAGTTAGTTAGCTTTGCTCTGTTGTGGTCACTCATAGTACCTTTAGGCTCATAAATAATTGTTGGTCTCAAGGACAATAGGATAAGAAAACATGAATATATTACCATTCACTGATGGTGGTATCATCCACATAAATAATAATATCATAATGTTAGAGTCAGTTTATCCAAGAGGCATATCAGTATTGCCTTATGGAAGGAATTTTAAATATACCTTTTCAATAACATATGCGCTTTATATAAAAATCATTAATCCCCACCCAGCTGGTGTGGCTCAGTGGTTTGAGTGTCGCCCCATGGACTGAGAAGTCCCAGTTCAATTCCCGGTCAGGGCACATGCCTAAGGTTTCTGGCTCCATGCCCAGTAGGTGGTGTGCAGGAGGCAGCCAATCAATGTTTCTCTCTCACACATTGATGTTTCTATCTCTCTCTCCTTTCCTCTCTCTCTAAAAATCAATAAAAACGTAATTTTTTTAAAATCATTAATCCTGTAAAAATGAGTATAACGATAACAGGAGAACAGAGAATTGAAAAAATAACATTGAAGGGAGTTTAGAAATCTGAAGATCTTTATATCTCTGAACATATCCTAAAACTCACCAGCCTTTTGAATTTATTTTTTGGTTAAATACTTGCACATGTATAAACTTCCTAAGCTATAAAAGGGAATACAGTAAAAGTCCTACTCCTAGCTGCCTAGTTTTGCTGCCTAAAAACAGCCAGTGTTTAAGTCTTAGTTATTACATTAACACTGGATCCTGCCCTGACCAGTTTGGTTCAGCAGTTAGCGCGTCGGCCCATGGACCGGAGAGTCCTGGGTTTGGTTCCTGCTTAGGGCACCTCGGTTGCAGTTTGTCCCTGGCCTCATTGGGGTCGTGTGGGTAGCAACCACTTGATGTGTCTCACATTGATATTTCTCTCTCTCTCTTCCCCCCTCTCTCCCGCTCTATCTGAAGATAAATGCAAAAATGTCCTTGGGTGAGGATAAAAACAAACAAACACTGGATTCTTACCTCAGCCAGAGAGATATAATCACTGTTTTATCAATGAGAAAAACAGACTCAGAAAGTTTGTAATTTCTCCAAGGTCACACTGCTACCAGATGTCAGAGGTACAAATAAGAACCCAAGACTTTTACCTTCTAATCCAAGGTAGCCTTACCACACTGCCTCTCCAAATCATAACTGTTGCCATAAAACTTAGAATTTAGTGAAACATACCAGGACATTAAAGCAATTTTATGTAAGTCCAGAATCACCTTACCCTAGTTTGTCAGTAAAACTTGTTCCCAAGCTTAAATGTAAGAATATGTAATTATTGTAAAGCAATGAAAAGAATAATCTATTATTCAGTTAAAAAAACTTTTTTGCCTTCTGTTTCTGTTGAAATTTATTTATTTTACTAAGTTAGCTTGCAAAAACTACAAAAAGTTTTATAATTAATTTTGGTTATATACACCCATAATATTTAAAAACATTTTTTTTATTGATTTTTTTTTTAAAGAAAGAGGAAAGGAGAGAGAAACATCTATGTGAGCAAGAGAAACATCAATCGACTGCCTCCTGCACACCATTCACTGAAGATCAAGCCTGAAACCTGGGCATGTGCCCTGATGGGGAATCTAACCAAGACCTCTCAGTCCATGGTACCACACTTCAGTCCACTAAGCCACACCAGCTGGGCTGCCCATAAAATTTTTAAATAATTTAAAATATGACTCTGGCCAGTTTGGCTCAGTGGTGGCCTGGGGACTTTTTTTTTTTTAATTAATTTATTTTTTTAATTTTATTATTGTTACAGATGTTTCTCCTTTTTTACCCCATTGGCACTCCCCTCCCCATCCCCCCCGCCCCATCCCCGGCTTTGTTGTCCATGCCCATTGGTTATGCATACATGCATATAAGTTCTGTGGTTTATCTCTTCCCACCCCCACCACCCCCTCTTCTGAGCGTTGTCAGTCTGTACCCTACTTCCACGTTTCTGGGTCTACCGTATTCCTCAGACTGTTATGTTCATTATATTCCGTATATAAGTGAGATTATATGGTATTTGTCTTTTTCTGCTTAGTTTGTTTCACTTAGGATAATACTTTCCAAGTCCGTCCATGTCGTCTCAAAGGATAAGAGATCTTTCTTTCTTACAGCTGCATAGTACTCCATTGTGTATATGTACCACTGCTTTTTTTATTCATTCGTCTACTGATGGACACTTGGGCTGTTTCCAGATCTTAGCGATCGTAAATAGTGCTGCTATGAACATGGGGGTACATATATTCTTCCGGATTGGTGTTTCAGGCTTCTTAGGGTATATTACTAGAAGTGGGATCACTGGGTCAAATGGAAGTTCAATTTTTAATTTTTTGAGGTAACACCATATTGTTTTCCATAGTGGCTGCACCAGTCTGCCCACCAGCAGTGCACTAAAGTCCCCTTTTCTCCACACCCTCACCAACACTTGTTGTTTGATGATTTGTTGATGGTGGCCATTCTGACAGATGTGAGGTGATACCTCTGGCCTGGGGACTTATGCGTCATGGGTTTGATTTCC